AACACCCAATCCGCAATTCCCGCCCAAGCTACCCAGAAATAACCCCATCGAGTGGCAGGGACTTAAGGAATTAGGATACAGATGGACTGCAAGATGAGGGGGAAGGAACAGGACGCCAGGACACGAACAGGAATCCGAGGCGGAATGTCAACTAAGAGTGTTGAGTGTCAAAGACGGATGCCAGGGCGAATTGCTGGCAATCAAAATCCGAAATCCGCTTGGAAAAAAGGAAAGGGGAAAAGGGGTGGGAATGGGGGCAAAACTGTGGCGATAACACCGAATGCTCGAAACAGAAAAGCACTTAACTCTTAAAGGCGAAATGCTTGTAAAATTTAAGCCCTACTTAATTTGCGATATACTCGTAAACAATTGCCCGCGGCAATCTCATTGTGGCACTTGTCACCGGCCTTGCGCGGTGGGTGGTTGGGAGGTTTGAGTGGTTCGAGAGTGGTTCTGTCCCCCCGCAGCCCTTTTTCCACGATTTTTACTAATTTTAATAAAGCGCCAGAGACAAAGGCGTCGCCTCCACCATTTTTCGCGGGGGTTGTGCTGGATGAACAACGAAGAAGAAGCTAAAGACGCCGCAACTCGATATCACAAGACAAAGGCTCACATCAAGAGGAAACCACAGGCTATGGCTACACCTACGCCTTGGCCCGCCACCTGCCACTTGCCACCCCCTTCCCCTGCCCCTTAACCCACTGAAGTGTGTGCGACAAGGGGTTAAGGGGATGGGGACTGGAGACTGGGGGCTGCCACATAGCATTCCGGCTTATTTCTTTCAATTTCGGTTTTTACTCATTTCGCGACGCGGTTTCTCATTATGCAGACACAGTCCGGAAAATGCCACTAGAGATGGGAAATGGAAAATTCAAGAGGATAGGAAAATGCCTTAACATTAATCCAAACTCTATTTTTGTTTCTTCTTTATATTATTTAAAAGGCCACAAAAATTAACTATAGCTTAAACTTTAAAACCTAAAATTTATTTGATGAAAAAATTAAAAGGAAAAGTTTGTTTGAAGAAATTTGCAAACTTATACATTTTATCAAACCAATTTTTTATTTTTTTATTGTTTAACAATTATAAATATTCAACAAATTCTATGTGCTTATACTATATTAAACTATAATTCTTAAATTATATAACTATTTTAAGCCCTGTTTTGGCTGACGGTTCTAAAAATATTTAAGTTCAGATTGGACACAAATTTGCCATCAGCGATCTGTGCTTTGGCCAAGGCCACCACTAGTCCCAAATGAATTTTTCGTGTTCGGCAGTGGAAAGCTGGAAAATTCGAGGATATAGAAATAGGGAGGGGGTTGGGTTTGCTTGGCAAATGTCTTTCTCTTGGCTGAAACCGCGAGTCCTCGCATCAGCGGCACATTTGTGTGCAGTGCCACCGCCGCAGCCGCTGGGAATTTAACCCTTTACTCCCCCAAAGGCCCCGCACCCACTGCCGCCACCCCCTTCACCCGCTTTTCCCCCACCCCCGCCCCTGCTTTTTGTGTGTGCCAGCCAGTGGATTACTCAATTAATTTAATTATGCGCTGTCAATCATTTCGTTGCCTTTGCCCAGGAACTTACTTACATTCTGTGTCTGCCTACCGGTGCCACGCCCACTCCTAGACGCCTCCTTAGCTCCTTAGTCCCCCTTAACCCCCTTCCCCTGGCCGACGCCCATCGGTCTGAGCAAAAAGTGACTTATTTTCTTGTTGCCACTTAATTTTTGTTGTCCTTAGATTTGCGCTCCAACGTCTGTGGCCGCTCAGCCACGTCCTTCCGCCCCCTCCCCTCGCTTTTTGTAACCCACAACCCCCCAGTACCCATTTTTCTTACCCTTTGGCACATCTCAACGGAAAGTGGAGAGAAAAAACTTTAAAGTATTCTGCGTTATATTATCCCCAGCTTAAACAGCTTTAATCTGTACTTTTTGAAAAAATAAATAAATACTTTTATTTGAAGTCAAGTATCATTTACATGTTCTATATAGATTAGTTCACTTTGTTAATAAATATACCAAATCATTCATAGTAAACATAAATATTAGAAATATGTTGCAACATTATTTTAAAATATGAAAAATAGAGAACCAGAAATCGCAATAGATCCCTTTCGACAAGGTTAACATTATAAGATAAGTTTAGTATACCATTTTTGCTCAGTGTATCGCCGAGGCACGCAAATTTTGACAGATGCCGAGGGGGCAAGGGCAACCCCCTCCAAAATGTTGCGCCACCCCGCCCCTGAAATAACCGCGACCGCTTGGAAATAAGAGAAATCATTTGCGTTTTTGCGTTTACGTAAGACGCGGGCTTTGCGAATCCCCCGGTTCCCAGACCTCGTGGTAAAGGGGTTTACTCGGGGGCATACCTTACATATATATATATATATAGGTAGAATCCATCCTTCCTGATCCCGAGCTGCAGATTCCCATCAGCCTTGTGTTTTCTTCCTCGCAATGTTGACTTTTCCATTTGCCTTGGCAATTTCTGGCACTGCTTTTTTCCTATTTTCCGCTTCTTCAGCGGGTTTTCTTTTTCCTACATTCATTTTTGTTTTTTGCCTTTTGCTTTCTTTGAACCCGTCTTCTGGCGTCTTCTGCGAATATCCTGCGGGCTTTGTTTGCGCCTGTATTTGTTTAAGCTGTGCGCGTATGTGTGTGTGTGTGGTGTTTGCTTACATGTGTAAATTACTTTTCAATCTTGTGATTACTTTTTTCCACATTTAATTATTTTAATTACGGCCCAGTGCACACAAGCAGCTTCCGCAGCTTCGTTTTTGCCACCGAAAACCCTTTTTCCCCGGGAACTAGTTCAAAGAACCCGTATGGAGTGCGGCACCCATCCTCTTTCACCTTGCTCAACTTGAGACTCTGTAATTTAGGCGTGCAGGACTTAGGGCCCTAAACTATCGAGCAAGAATTGCGAATTTTAAATGTTTTTTTCTTTTAAATCCATATCTACTCATATCCCAAGTGTACACTGCGATGTCTCCAAATTACAAATTTCACAAAATATTTAAGGAAATATAAAAAGATACAAAAATAGGTAATTTATAGCATAATACAAATTTTTGACAATACAATGAGATGAGTATGTGCAGTGTACGTGAGCGGAAAAGGATGGGCAGAACAATTCCCCATGCTCACTTAATAGGACGCTTAAGCGGGCAAGTTAGTTAGTTTGTGCCCATCCTCATATTTATGTGGCAATAGAAAATAACTCATCTAGTGCTTTACTTTAAATTAGTTTAGTTTTGTAAACTGCTATTTTTCTAGTGATGCAATCGACAGCAAGGTTTCGAAACTCTATGTTCTGTGTGAATAAGGTGAAATCAAACCAACATTGACCTTGAAATTATAAAATAATAAATAAAAAATGAGGTAGCGTTGACGACCTACCGAAATTTGCAAATCCCAGAAAGTCCGAGGTTCACTCCTCACCGAGTGCAGTGTGCTAGACTTTTGAATTAAAAACTCAACTTCTAAAAATGACCTCGAGTTCGCTAACGCACTCAATAAAAAAAAAATATATAAATTTAATTTAAATTACTGTCATTTTTAGCAATATTTTTTAGTTAAATTTAATTTAAATAAAAAGTGTTAGCCATTGTCGACCTAAAACCATTTTAGAAAATTCAGAAATAAAAACAAATAACATTCTAGGACTATACAAATTTAATATCCCTCTATTCTTCTTTTCTATCCCTCTATTCTATGGAAATCATCTATTAATTAGCCAACAGTATAGTGTTGACTTTGGATCTCAAACTTAATCACTGAACTGCAAAAAAAAACACATTCGCGCACTCAAACAGCCAGCTGCGGACTCCAACTGGCAGCGATGATTGATGATTGATGACGCCGACGAATGATGAAGGCGATTCGATCACCGGCTGGAAAATGCGTCAGGTGTTTTAATGGGTTTTCCAGCTCTGGATCTGGATTAAAATTTGGATCTGGATCGCAATCTGTGGGTGAATTTTAGCATCTGGATCCGAATCTTTGGCGATCTTCGTTGGACGATTGAAGATTGACGATGGACGATGGACGATGGACGACGGACTGCCGGCTTGCGGAGGAAATCCCTGCACTTGAGTCGTCGTCGACGGGCCAAAGTCATTTGTGGGCTGCTGCTGCCGACGTCGCTGCTCCGAGGATATGTGCTCCGAAAAAGCCGCCCTGCCAGGACCTTTCGGAAAAAGGGGGGTGGCGACCTTCAGTGCGCCGACTCGCAGACCAGCAGACTGTTATACTGTACTACACACACACCCCCCGTTTTGGGGATGAGGACATCATTTCACTTCGGCTTTTACTCCGAAAAACGGCAACGGCAGAGGCAGCGGCAGAGGCAGCGGCGACTGCGACGTCGACTGCAATTTTCAGTGCGTTCGAAAGTTCGACAACTTTGGAAAACTGTCAGTTGGCAGCGAACTTAGAACAGGTAGAGACGCACGTTCCGCCTGGAAAATCGGTACAAAACGGAACAGGCTAGAAAGGAACACACTCACACAGAGAACAGATATTATTGTATAGCGGCTATAGGGAAAAACCCGAAGGTTTTCCCTCGTGTGTGTGAGTGAGTGCTGTTGGCATTTGTGTGTGTGTGTTTTTTTTTTGGGGCTTGGGGTTCGGAAAACGTGCGTCGACGTCGACAGCGACTGAAAAACGGCGACTGAAACGGCGACGATGTAAAATTTTATTACCCCAAACGCATCGAGCAGTCGGGTTTTGGACGTCCGGACTTCACCGCCGCCTCGCTGCGACGCCAGACTTTTATTGCAGCTGCCATATAGAGTGGGTATAGCCATATAGCCCATGGTCAGGCCCGGAGATCCCAAAAACTTTCTGAAGACGGACACAAACTTTTTCCAGAGTGCGGCATAAAAGTGCAAAAGTTTTTGTTCGCAGCGCCCACAAACTAAAAGAAAAACTTCGCCGCCGCGCAAAGCCCCCTTAAACAAAAAAAAAAAAAAAAACAAAATAAACAAGAAACCAGAAACCAGAAACAAAAAGTAAATCCAGTGCAATGCAATGCAAACAAAAACCCAGTAATATATAATAAACAAATACGAGAAAGTGCGTGGTCTAATCGAAATCAAGTATACGCCCCGTTAGCCGGCTAATTTGATCTCCATCGAAAACTCTAAACATTTCACTTCCTTCGAAGATATCGCCGCCGTCGCGTTGACAAAAAGTGAGTTGAGTGTTTGTTAGTTTGTTTTTTTTTTTGTTTTTGTCACTGTTTACCCAGTTTTAGTTTGGCTTCTGTTTTTTTGTTGTGTCGGTGATATAACATCCAATATTAATCCGGAGTGTTTGTGTGGATAAACCAGTCGCAACATCAGCCTAATCAGGCAGCAGCCTCATCATTATCAGCGAAATAAACATAAAACAAACGAAGGCCTTAGAAATAATGGCCAGCGAAAAAGTGCAGAGTGTTTAAATATAAAAAAAAACAACAAATCGAATTCCAAAACTAAATCGCTAAGACAACAAAATCGAAAACGAAAACAAAATCGAAACCGAAACAGAAACAGAATTCACCAAATAGGTAAAGTTCACATATAAGTATTTGAATCTTGTAATATCCCCAATAGATCTTGCAATTTTTGTATCGAACTGAAAACTGACAGTCTATATATTGTATATACTATATACCATGCTGATCCTCACCCAGACCCGCCCCCCAGCCCCTGTGAAGGCAAAAATTATGAAAAACCAAAATATATATAGAGAAAAACCCAACAAGAACGAGTAAAACAAACAGTTAAGTAAAACAAAAAAATGAGAAGGAAATGAAGAAACAATGAAATACAAGAAAAAGAAATTCAATGCAACAAGAATAATCACATTGAGAATTTGACAAACAAAATTGAAAACTGAGCTAACTGAAATCGTGAATCGATATCATCACACATATTCAGACGGTTCAGGAGCTCGTTACTATCCTATACTATTAAATCAGCTGAGGATCATCATAATCCCATATATTTAGGTGTTTTAGAAGTGGGAGTTTCTATTTTCTACAATTGTCTTGAACTTAATTTTGGCTAAAAATGGCTAAAAACAATATTTGCAAAGTCTCAAGTGTTTTTTATTGCCTCACAATAACACGATTTACACTTTTATGGTACCAAACTGAGCCCAAACAAACAAACCGTAAAAAAGTTGTTTACCATTCAAAAATCAACAACGATACATTGACCCTCTAACTATCTTTGCCTTAAATATATACATTTTATAAATCTTTTAAAATATAATTGGTTTTTTTTTACTTCATTTTTGTTTCTTTTAAAGAGAATTAGGCAACCGTTTCTAAAAAACTATTAAATAGTTAAAAAAATATACACTTTTGAAGATTTCATAATGAATTCGTTTTGGTAAACTGTTTGTTTAGTTACTTTGAGTTCGGTTTCAGGCCAAACTTTCGATAATATTCTATTGTATATGTTATAACTTGTAAGGTAGCTGGGTAAAGGCTGAAAATGGTTTCGATTTTGTTTAGTCTGGTGGGCAGACCCATAAGATTTCCCACAAGCGAACGCGATAACAAAGGCCAATTAGCTGAGGCTGCAGAATGATAATGCTGATGATATCCACACAAGCCACTTTGGTAACACTAGAAGAATATAGCTTAAATTTCGTTTGAATTTTCATCTGATCAGCTGGAAAAGCTGGGAAAAGCATAGCCAGGACGATGGCGCTTTCCAAACGGCCCCTCACCAAGGACACGCCCCTGTCCGAGAGCAATGGCAACCACGCCAATGGCAATGAGCACGAGACCTCCATCAAGCGGCGCAAGCGTTGCAGTCGCGACGAGGACTCCGCAATGGCCATAAATAATAACAACAATAATAATAATAATAATAATAACAATAATAACAACAACTTGCCACAGAAGAAACGCAAACAGGGCTCTGGTCACATTGCCGATAGTCCAGAGACCAGTCCCACCGCCTCCTTGCCCACTCCCTTGGCCAACGGCAACGGCAAGGGCAGCAACACGGACGCCGACCAGGACGACGAGACCCTCATCCGCGAGACTCAGGCCGCCCTGAAGAGCCTCTCCGGCAGTTGGCCCGACGCCCGGGGCAATCTGTATCGGCTGCAGGAGCAGGACGAGAATCCACCGCCCTTCCAGAATCTCTTCGAGGAGAAGCAAAAGTATGAGGCCATCTCAGCCAGCTCAACGAATCCGAATGCGAATCCCATCTCACGTTTCCACAGACAAAAGGAGAACTTGGAGGTGCGCGGCAAGATGGGCGGCAAGGAGGAGGATCGTGATCAGGATCAGGATAACGAACTGGAGGACACTTTGGGCCCGGCGGCCTATGCCCAGGCGGCGTCGGCCTTCAAGCCACCGATAGATATCATCAAACGGAATTATGTGGCCGCCGCTCATGCCCATTATAGTGCCTATAATGCGGCCGCTGCAGCGGAATCAGCAGCGGGATTGGCCTACTATGGTTATGCCGCTGCCGCCGCCGCCAATCAACAGCAGCAGCAGCAGCAGCAACAGCAACTGAGTACCGCCTTCGATATTGCCAGCCAGCTGGGCGAGAAGCCGCGGCCCAAGGAACCGATGGCCGATGGCAAACAGTACACGATCCTCCAGCCGGCGGGCATCGGCAGTCGGGCGGCCTCGGTGATGCAGGACATTGCCTCGCGCGAGGGCGTTGTGGGCGTACCGCTTGTGGCCACGCCCCCATCGTCGGCGCCGGCCGGGAGTCCAGCGGCAGGACCCTCGACTCCTTCGACCCCGGCGCCCAGTTACTCGCCGGGCAGCCAGAATCGCGGTAAGTGGTCAAAAAAAGTAAAAGTAAGCCATACAAAAATAGAGTGATTTCCCCCGGTTGACTGTGAGGATGATGAGTTGGTTGTGCTTCGCTGGAATATCAGAATCCTGTTAAACTGTACCGTGACTTGGCCACACAAGTGAAAAGATAAGATGGCTAAAAACAAGCTTGAACAGAACTGTATTTGGGTGTGATCAGTGCTTAACAGCTAGTGTGAACAAGGTATTAAAGCAGTGCTGTATAAAGCAGAATGATTCAAGTACAAACAGTGTTGTAAATGTTAATACTATTTTGTGAAACAGTGTTATAAACTCTACTGTTATTCACCAGAAGAGAAGATAAACAGTGTTGTAAAAAGCAGTCTCATTCTGCAAGATAACAGACCGTTTTATTAACACTAAAAAGATCTACTTAGAATAATTCTGTAAACACTAAGATAATACTTTATAAACAGTTCTGTAAACAGCTATGTAAACTGGAGGTTCTTAAATCACTTGTGAGCCAACAAATGGTGCAGTGTTGGGCAGTCAATTAAACTGCGATTCGTTGTGGTTCGTTTGGGTTTCCGTTTCCGGTTCTACTGATCGATCGGCTGATGTGCGAGACTTCTTGTTGCATTGAGTTTACCACTTCAATTGGCAAAATCAGAACAAAGTCCCCTGTCCCCACCGCCCCCCCAAAACCAACCACCCCTAAAGAGAGACAGAGACAGAAGGAGAGACAGAGAGAGAGAAAGAGTGTGTATCTTCCGATGTCTGAAATGCGTGTATGATCATTTAATCAAAAAACAAAAGTAAACTTAAAGGAGAGACACTCAATTTGCCTACCTAATAGGCAACATTATGACGATTATTATTATTATTATTATTATTTGCACAGAACAACCCCTGCTCCTTAACCACCCACATATCTAAAAATAAAACCCTTTTTGCAGCTCATTCAGCAGCCAAAAAGACATTAAGCGATTTTGTCGTTATGAAAATGGGATCGCTAAGGATGGGGGTTTGTATTTTGTATTTTTTGGTTGAAGTTTAGAGTCGGGGGCTTCGACTCCGCACAACAACTAATGGCTTGTAAACCCTTTATATGCCACACAACTCAGAAGCACATGGACAGACATCTTTTGGTTGAGTGCCTGAGCCTTGAGCCTTGAGCTTTGCCATCTACTAATTTCGCAGTACAATTTCCACAATTTCCACACAGACGACGACGACGACGATGAAAGGGGGGTGGGCGGGGTAAGTGGGTGGTGGCATGATTAGATATAAAGCATTATGAGCACGTTTTCCTTCAAAAACCACTTTTGCATATTTATTTTGTCATTATGTTTTGGCATTAATATGCTTAGTGTGTGTGTGTGTCCTTGGTATTCGGTATTCATATAATTTGAATGACTTTTTAAATAGTTGGCGGAAGCCTAGAAACTCTAAAACTCGCTGCGTATACGTAATAAGTCATTAGCGTGCGCCCCCCCTCCTTATTGTTATTGTTTTAGCCTCTTTGCTAATGTGGCTTATTAGGCTTAACCCTGTGTGTGTCTGGTTTTCTCCTCTCAATCTTTAGTTTTCCCCTTTATACCATACGTTTTTTTTTTTGTACCACGAACACACGGAAATTTTCTAATGCACAAACACTTTGGAGGCCCCAGCCCCGCTGGCTTTATTTTAATTAAATTCTAATTAGAGACGAGTCTCGGTCCTTTTACCTTTACTTTCCTTTTTTGGCCCGGCTCCACGGCAGCTGCAGTTTGACATTTTGCCCGGCCACGTAATAGACAAAAAGCGGGAGTAAAATATTTCGAAAAATATTTCATTAACCAACCCCGCTTTTCACATATCACGCACAACATACATCAGGCATTTTATCTTCGAGGAGTTGCGCTTAGAAAGCAACCAAGTTTTTTGGGTCTGGTTCGGTTCGGTTTGGTTGGGTTTGATTTTTGAAGCTGTCTCGCAAAAACCCCTTTCCCTTCGGCTGACTGTCATGTGTGCGTGAGCTTTTTAAAGTAAATAATGCAAAGCTGTTTTCCATCAAATTTTAATTAATTATTTAGGGTAAAAGAATTCGAGTTGCCTGCTGTTGATGATGATGATGCTGCTGCTGCTGCTTCTTCTTCCATCGCATTGCTGTTTTTTAAGGTTCTTTTTTTCCGGCGGGGGGTTCCACGTCAACTTGTCTCTCGCTGTCGCCTGCCATATAATTAATTAGAAAATATTCACTCACTCCACCCGTCTCATTCTGGCATTTACCCACGCCATATGCCCATCTCGCTCTCGCCCTTGCTCCTCTTCGTTGAATTTAAGTTTTTACTGTTAATTGGTTAATTGTAGATGGCGCCAAATGCCCCACGCCGCATTGTACGGGCCAAGGACATGTGACCGGATTGTATTCGCACCATCGCAGGTACCCATCCATAGAGATCCCTGCCGATTTGTCCTTCTCTCACACGAAAAACAAAAACCTCTGTCTTTCTTTTGTTTCCCACATGTCATTTTCGATCGGCCAAATGCTGGCAACTTGACAGTTTGTCGGGTTGTCCGAAGCGCGATAAAGTCACCACAGAATGTAAGTTTGCCCAAGAATACAACAAAAGAAATACTTCCGTTTCGCATGGCCAGTAGTCGCTCTATCTCTGTCTGTCACTCTTTCTTCGACTCTCTCTCTGTCTCTCTAACTGTCAATCTGTCTCCTGTTCCTTTCTCCCTGTCTCTGTCTTTGTATCTCTTAGAGAAGTCTTGAGTGTGAATGTTCGATGTGTCTGTGCGGTCTATCTTTCAGATTCTCTTCAACTTTCCTCTAAAAGCTACTCTTTAAAATATTTTGTTGAATCTTTTTTAATGTCTTCTCAGGTCTTATGGTTTTTTATTTTTTATAAACATGTAGAACCGTTTTTAATTGAGTTTTTATTTTCTTTTTTATTCTCTTGTAACTTATCCTATATTTTATGTTTAAATATATTTCACATTTTCTTTTTAATTCAAAATGGTGTAGGGTGAAGTAGTATCGGTTGAAACTAACAATAGTCTTTACTTTTATCTCTCGCCTTTCAACTTTGCATGATCTTAGAAGGATCTAGACTTTGACTACAGTGATAGAGAACCGAAATGTGTTGTGAAATTGCATGTAGTTTAGCATTAGCTATGGAAATGGATGGGTTTCACGAGTTTTCTAAGACTTGATCTTAAAGAGGATCTCAGCTCTCTCTGTCTTTCTACCTTTCTCTCTCTCTGTCTCTGTTTCTGTCTCTCTAACTGTCCCTGTCTGTGGAATGCCTTGTTGTCGTAGCCGTGCCATTACCGCTGATCCAGTGACTGAATTGATCCATTCCATTCCATTCCGTTCCGTTCCATTACCAATGCACCTGCAGTGCTGGCTTTGCACGAGCAGATCCTGAAATGCCCCACGCCCGGTTGCAATGGTCGTGGCCACGTGCAGCCGCATCGCAGCGTGCACCGCAGCCTCTCCGGCTGCCCGAGGGCCATAAGGCGCTCCGGCGGATCGAGCCGCCGTCCGGGAGCAGCACCACCACCACCAGCAGCAACAGCAGGTGAACCACTCTAGTCTCTCCAGCTACGCCAGCCACTCCAGCCACTAGAACCGCTGAGTACTAAGCCAGTGGTGGACAGCAGAAGCTTTTCTGCTTTACAGCGTACGTGTGCGCCGAAACACTGGCAGCGCAGCGGCAGAGATACTGCCTCTGCTGGCCACCACTGTACTGAAACCACCCAACTTAGAACCAGACTGTGTGAAAGAATATAGCCATGCGACCCATCTGAAACTCACTTTCACCCGAAACTTTTTCTGATTCCAACTGATCTCTCTCTGTAACGCCCTTTTCTCTGCTCTATCGCTCCATGTCTCTGCTCTGCTCTCTCTCGCACTTTTAGCCGGAGAACTGGAGAAACAGCACGAGAAGGAGCTGCATCCGCTGGACAAACTGAAGCTGGCCTCCAATCACTATCTCAACAATAACAACAGCAACTGTATCAACAACAACAACACGAAATCTCTAAGTGGCAACAACACAACGATGCCGATTATAAAATCGGAATACAGTCCCGTAGCCAGCATTAAATCGGAATACAATAAGAGCCCCATGCACTCGTATCTCTCGGGGGATGCGGCCACGCCCGCCCCCGCCGCCCCCTCATCGGCGAGTGCCGCCCAAGCGCCGCGTTCCGGATCCGCCAGCGGTGCATCAGCCTCGAATGGAGAGAACAACCTGCATGCACCGCATCTGAGTCGCTTTGTGGGTCTCCAGAGTCCGCCGCATCAGCCGCATCTCAATCCGCATGGCCACCACCAGCAGCAACAGCAACAGCAGCAGCAGCAGCAGCAGCAGCAGCAGCAGCAACAGCAGCAACAGCAACAGCAGCAACACACCTTGCACCAGCAGCGTGGGCCCTTCATAGAGGGCAACGATGTGCCCGATCCTTCCGCCACCTATCACTCGGAACACCAGCAACAGCAACAGCAGCAGCAGCAGCAACAGCAACAGCAGCAGCAGCAGCAACAGGCCGACGAGCGACAGCAGCAATACGAGCAGATGCGCTACGCCCAGAGTCATGTGAGCGTGGGTCCCGGAGGTGAACTAATGGCTCCCAACGGAGGCGAACTGTCGCCGGGAACGGCGAGAAGCGCCTACGAAGCGCATCCCGGCCATCCGCATCCGCATCCACATCCCGGCCATCCCGGACATCCGCATCCACATCCGCCCGTCTCGCTGAGCTCCCTCAGCTCGCCAGCCTTCAGCGTGGATGCCGTGACGGCGGCCAGCGGAGCGGGCTTCGAGCGTTACGATCCCAGCGGCACGATCTGTTGCCCCAGCAACGGCCAAAGGGCCACAGCGGCCACGGCGGCCACCGCGGCGGGCGCTTCAGCGGCAGCGGCTGCCTATCACTATCTGCCACAGACCACCGACGAGATGCAGGCCCAGCAGCAGAAGTACCTGCAGGAGCAGCAGCTGATGCTGGCCAAGGCGGAGCACGAGGAGCTGGCCAACGGCGGACAGCCGCTGTATCCGCGGCCCATGTATCACTACGATCCCACGATGGGTCCCCTGCCGCCGGGCTTCTCGGCCATCAATCTGTCGGTTAAGATGGCCGCCGCCCAGGCAGCAGCTGCAGCGGCCGCATACCAAAATCAACAGCAGCAACAGCAACAGCAGCAGCAGCAACAACAGCAGCAGCAACACCACCAGCAACAACAACAGCAACAGCAGCAGCAGCACGGCAAGCAGAGCAGCTCGCCCGCCCCCAATGTGGGCGGTGTGCCGGCGGTGGACCTGAGTGGTTCCACCTCGGTGACGAGCAGCAGTCCGCACGGTTTCAATTCGCCAGCCTCGCACAACCAGTACACCGCCCAGCGGATGGGCAACGGCAGTCCGCAGCCAGGAGCCAGTCCGAACATAGCCAGTCCCCAGGTGCCCAGTCCCCAGGGTCAGACGTTGGACCTGAGCGTCACCCGTTTGCCTCACAGGTGAGTTGATAGACGCGTCTGAAGAATTCGCGTTATTTGTATATAACAGAAAAAGAAGATCTTTTATCAATTTGTCCAAGTTAAAGAATTCGCGTCTAAAGAACTCGCGTCTAAAGAATTCGCGTTATTTTTTTAAAGATAATCACTATAGAACGCGACTTCAGAAAAAGGTTGTCCGAAAATCCTTTAACATTTTATCCAGGTTAAAGAATTCGCGTCTAAAGAATTCGCCTTATTTTTTAAAAATAAGAACTATAGACCGCGACTTCTTCAGAAAAATATTGTCCAAAGATCCTTTAATTTTTTATCTAAGTTAAAAAACTCCTGTCTAAAGAATTCGCGTTTTTTTTTGTGATTTTTGTTAATTCTTACATATTTTAAACTTTTTCAGAAGAATTTATCATTTATAATTTTGTACAAATTGTACTGTGATTGTGTTTCATATACTATATTTTGAAGTACCTACAACTAGTTACCCCTGTAATAAAGAATTCTCTTTTTTTTTTGTGCTTTTTATTAATTCGTACATATTTCTAATACCTGTGACAACCCAACCCCCTGCCTTCTCAATTCGCAGCATTATTACGAGTCCGCAGTACGGAGCCGATGGCCTGGTAGTGGGTCATGCCCAGGGTTTCGTGAGTGGAGCGACGGGACCTCTGGGTCCGGGCAATGGTGGACCACCGCGATCGCCGCAAATGGAACCGGTGGACTTTAGCGGACCTCCGAGACCGCTGGGCTTCGGCCTGGTGGGCCACATCAGCGGTCCGCGTCCCTATAGCCGCGAATCCACGCCGGACAGCGGCGGCTCTCACTATATCGAAACGTATCGGGATCCCAGTGGTAAGTAAAGAAAGCGATATTATATCTTTACTTTAGTGAACCTCTTGAAATCCCTCGACATTTCTAGGGATTAGCTAATGCTTCGAATGAATATCACCACAGAATAACCTCAAATTGGAACCTCTTATCATTGCAGGCTACTCACCGCACCCTGGCTACGGGATGGTGGTCCAATCGGACTATCCGCCCGCTGGATATCACGGCTACGGCCCAGCTGCCTACCAGTGCAGCAATCCGTACGCCACGGCCGTCGGTCCCGGTGGCTATCCCACGCCCGTTTCCGGCGGCTACTCGCCCAGTCCGGCCACCTGCTACTCGATGCCACCGCCACAGCACATCCCGCAGCACGACAAGTCCAAGGACGGGTGAGTTCTCATTCCCTTTCCCTTAGTCGATTACTATATACTCGAGGACGGACCTTTTCCCAGTGTGGTTAATGATTCATATAATAATTTGATGGCCATCCATCTCTGTCACAAGATGAGTGTCTCAGCGACACCTGGAGCTAATATTGATGTAAAACCAAGGAATGAACATCTGAATAAAAAAACATCCTTAGTTATTTACAAACTATGATTTAAATTCCTTAATAATCTCAACTTTAAAGTTCAAAAGCAAAGCACAGAGTTATTCTTTCAACTATCCACTACTTTAAATCCCCTCGTCTTTATGAGCTGCCTGCGATAGATTACTCGAGCTTTGAGTCCTTCGTGGCGACTCCTTGGTGGACACTAAAGCCCAGGGTCGAGAGACTTTAATATTTACGATTACGACTGAAAGTGGCCGCAGAGCGGTCGTAAAACCAGCCCCTTAGCCATCCCATGATTAAATGAAACTTTAAAACCGAAAGTTTCAAGTGCAAAGTCTTAGAGCAGACAGACATATGGAGGTTTCCTTATCTGGGCATCCCACATTGGGTCACTCACTAATCCGACGACCCCCGTCCCCTATTCGATTCTCCTTCCCCAGATTGACGGGCTGCTCGCGCTCGGACCGCAATCATCTGCAATCGCACTCGCAGGAGCTCAAGTGCCCCACGCCCGGATGCGATGGCTCCGGTCATGTGACCGGGAACTACTCCTCGCACCGCAGCCTCTCCGGCTGTCCCAGGGCCAACAAGCCGAAGAGCAAGCCCCGCGATGGCCAGGACTCGGAGCCCCTGCGCTGTCCCATTCCGGGATGCGATGGCTCCGGCCATTCCACCGGCAAGTTCCTCTCCCACAGAAGGTAAGCAAGCCCCTTTGGAATCCAGTTTGGATTTTAGTTAATCCTTTCCTCCTTCAGTGCTTCGGGCTGTCCGATTGCCAATCGCAACAAGATGCGTGTCCTGGAAGCCGGCGGCACTGTGGAGCAGCACAAGGCCGCTGTGGCAGCTGCCACGGCCATGAAGTTCGATGGTAGGTATTTCATACAATATTTGATCTATTAACCGAAGAAAGTCTAATTTTGAACCTTTATGCCTTTCTTTTTCTGACTTTCCCATAGCCTGCACCACGGTGGGCAGCCAGGGCATCAAGAAGCCCAAGTTCGATGAGGTCACCATGGTCTATCCCAAGGGCTATACAGGTGAGTGCCCCCCGATCTACGAACGCTTCATCTCGCTCTCCTTTTCTCTCGCTGTCTCTCTCTTGCGTGTACTTTTCTGTTATGAACTGGGCCCAAGGCTAGTATACCATATCCCTGCTAGATCGAAACGGGGGATTGGGTTATAATGGCCTTGTCACAAAGTTAGCAACACACAAAGAAGAAAAATAGTAATCAAACCCCTTTTTCCCACAAAAAAAAAAACAAATTTTAACCTACAAAATCTTTTAAATACCGAATTCTTCTTCTCTGTTGTTGCTCGCTTTTTTGTCTTGAACATTTTCGGTTGGAATTTTGTGTGCGTGTGCTAAAGTCAAACGAAAAAAGAAAAGAAAGCATCAAAAGAAATGAAAAACAAAAAACAAATATTCAACAAGAAGTAACTTTATTTTTGGTTTTGGTTTCGGAAAATGCAACACAAAAAGAATTTCAAAAGCAAATCTAGCAAATCTTTTCGTTAAGTTTCGAGATCCTTCGAAATCCCCCGACCGCCGACAACACCAACTCCCCCGAAAAAACCAACCACTCACTCGAAATATCCTCTGAAAATCCTCCCGATAAACCCGGTACATAACAAGAACCCGATAATATCCAAAATCACATACACACACACCCACAAATGCACCCTAGTATGTGTGTGTGTGTGTCTGTGATACGAACAAGAGAAACAAAGCAAAAGCAAAAGCAACAAAGAAGCTGATCTAAAGAGAAAGAAACAATTAAATTCCTAGTTTTAATTCTAATTTAATTCTGTGTTTCTTCTTTTCGTTTCGTTTCATGTCGTTTTTGTTGACGTTTTCTTTTAGATTACGCAACGTTTTGTATCGGTGCCGAGTATCTACTGTAAATAAAATGAAACCACTGAATCGCAGTCAAAACAGTCCGAATCGAAACTGAAAACTGAAACCACAACCAGCAACCAAAAATAAATGCAATGCAAAAATCCAAATGCTGCAGAATAAAAAAAAAAAATAAAAAAAAAACCAATCAATTCTATGTGTCTGTATATAAAACCGAAAGACAGCAATGCGAACAGATCATACCTACAACTTACACAAATCAGAGAATCCAAAAATACAAAAAAAATGTACATACAAAAATTGCCAGGGAGTCAGTCAATCAAGGTAAGCCCGAAGATAAGATGATTAAAGCCACCAACTAACACCCACTCATCCACAAACACAGCGAAACCATGACACTCATGCACAAACACATACTCAATTGATTCCAACCCATGAACAGATCCCAAAAACTGTGATTCAACTAACTACTGTGATCAATTGCACCATAGCTTGCTGTAAACGGTGCACCGGTATTACCACAATGCCGCACCGTTTACAACTAGCTTTAAGGATTTATCACTCGTGTATGTATGTCCTCCACTCACACTATACACACACAACTACACCAACTCACACTAGTGCCAATTGAGTTGCTAGCACACGCGCACATTGACGAACCGTGGAATGCCAGACGATCCCACAGATCAAAAAAAAAAAAAAAAAAAAAAAAGAGTAAAGACATAACAGCATAATGACCATACATAGATCGTAGGACCGTACAGTCCGTACCACTAACGAGCCTCTGCATTGCCCTTCTCTTCACTTGGAACAGGCGGCAGCGGTTTGGACATTGTCATGGGCGGCGTAGGAAGCAGTGTCGGCGTGGGACTCGGTCTAACGGGGTCACTCGGCATCGGGGTCACCAGTAGCAGCAGCGGCAGCAGTAGCGGCGGCAATAACAACACGAATAACAGCGGAAGCGGCAGCAGCAACGCCAGCGGAACCGAAAAGAATCCATCCGTAGGCGGTGGTCCCACTTCGGGCGCCACTGGTAGCGATGACCTAAACACCCTGGAGGCCGAGATATCCGAGCTGCAGCGGGAGAATGCACGCGTGGAATCGCAAATGATGAGGCTCAAGTCCGATATCAATGCCATGGAGTCGCAGCTGAGCACCAGCGATCGGGTATGTAGGCTCAGGTTCGTTGAATGCAACAAATTATGAGACCAAGTCCATTTCCCACTAGCCTAAGCGCACGAACTTTGCAGACGATGGTCACACTGAAAGTTTTGCACCTACCCCCCGAAAAACCCCCAACCCTGCAGCCGCCCGCCCTTAAAACTTTCGACTCAAACGAGACTTTGAGTGGAGTTCTTTTCTACCCATAGTATCGCTTTTGTTGTTTTTGAGTTCAGTCTGTCGTCACCTGAGCGAGTTTTGTCTTGGCACTTTTCAAGGACGTCTCTAAAACTCGGCGAAAAAACAATGAACAACAAGTGAAACAAAGTGAAGCAAAGTAAAGTTAAGTAAAGTGAAATAAACTTAGGCTAAAGTTGAATCGAAAACGAGGGCGCGAGCGAAAAGTTTTATCAGCCGCCGACGCAGACGTTAAATTGCCAGGGATCCTTTGGTCTTTCAGGCCTAACAACTCATATTTGCATGCAGAGAAGAAAATTAGTTGCTTCTTTAAGGATTTGATATAATTCGTTGTATCCAATCAGTATACTTTTTTTTTGTAGTGTAATGAATCCACACGAAATGCAGTGCACTTCTCCACTCCACCCCCCGTTTTGACGTCAGCCAATCGGTGACGTTGCATCTTCACTGCATCGGGCGGCGAATCAGAATCGGCGGCGTCAGGGGCAGGAGGCACACACCCCTAAGCCATCCGTACACCCATGCCTCCCTAAAGCGCTGACGAGTGAGTGTGCCGGCGTGTGTGCGATGGTCATGCGCAGGCCATGTTGCACAGCCCAACAACGAGGCGCCAACAAATCGCAGGACGCCATTCGATTTGCTCCTAAAAGCTGGGGGAAATGGGGCGAAAAAAAATACGTAGAAATAACTGTGCTACAAAGGCGACGGCAGCGACGGCAGCGACGTCGACGCAGCATTAACCTTTGTGTTTTTGGGGCGCCCCATGCCTTCAGGCCCCCAAAAACTCCGAAAAATCCCATTCCCCCTCGCTCTCTCACTCTCTCACTCTCAGTGCGTCTCTTTCTGCCCCCGGTGTTCGTGCTGACTTCGTTCAGGATTCGTCTCTTTTTTCTTTCTTTTTTTTCGCCTTACTTTCACCCAACCCCCTTTCTTTTTTGTGTGTGATGGCGCGCTCTTATTGGAATTCCCATACACATATGTGGCACATGAGCAGGGGTTTATGTACCCGGGGAAACCCCACCCAATCGAGTAAATTGAATACCGATTCGTGACCATCGTCTGGATTTCCACACACTAACCATCTCTCTAACATGTGTGTGTGCGTCTATATTGTCGTTTCAGGAGGCTTCTCCATTGAGCGGTCATCAGCAGCAGCAACAGCAGCGCTCCTCGGCGGCTTTGGCCTCGCCCAGCGGTCAATCGCCATTCGCCAGTGTCAGCTCCACCAGTGGCACGTCCACCGTGTCCAATGGAGCCACCACCAACGGCCAGGGGAGCAGCAGCACCGCCAATGCCAACGATCTGAACCACTCGATCAGCAATCTGGCGCCCAGTTCGGGCAGCAATCCCAACCAGACCATCGATGGACTGGGAGCACCGCCCAATGCCAATCTGAACAACTACTACGAGAGCCTGAGGAACAATGTGATCACGCTGCTGGAGCATGTGCGTCTGCCCCCACCGCCGCCGCCGCCGCCTGGCACGGCCACGCCCAGTTCCTCGGCGGTCCATGGGCTGGATAATGTGTGCGGCGGTGGTGCCGCTGGAGGAGAGCATGCGACGGCCTACTCCACGCTCCTGCCGCCGCCACCGCTACCTTCCTCGGGTGGCGGAGGTCCCTCCTCCTCCGGCGGCGGTATGTACGGCGGAGGTGGTAATGCCGGTCTGCATCAGGGAACTGGTTCAAGTGGCGGCCTGGGATCTGTGGGACCGCCACCCGTGCCGCCACATCATCATCCCTACACGGTGCATCATCCCGTCAGCTATGCCCATCCGCATGCCCATCCGCACGCACATCCGCATCCCCACGAGCACTTCGACTCGTACATCTCGAAGCTCCAGTCGCTGTGCGTGCCCCCCGATGTTTATGCCCTGCCCGAGGATGCGGAACGGCCCGTCTACAACTCGGTGAAGCCCACCATGCACCAGGACTACGGTAAACTGATGCCGACACCCATCTAAGAACGCTGAGAATCAAAAGAAGAGCCCAAGCAACTGGTGACCCCAAACTAGAGCCACATCCCGTCCAGGGCTCAAAGGAGAACAAGTGTAAATAAATACGAGACGTAGGATCTAAGAGGTTAAACTGGCGTTATTCATAGGCCTGACTTCAAGGCAGACTATACAAAAATTACAGGAGGGACAGGAGCCAGAGTGTCGGGGTCACCCCACCCGAGCATCCTCGATGTAGAGATAAAACTAGTTATTAGGCATGGGAACCCAGCCACTTTGTTGGTCGGGACAATGCTAGTCCTTAGTACTTAGAAACGTTCCACATCCTAGATCGTCGTGTGTTGATAGCAACTCTGTAAAAAAAAAAGCAAGAAGGGAAAACCAAACATAAGTGTGTAATTGGATTATGAATTTCAATTTTTTTTTGTCTGTATCAAATACTAAAACTAGAAGTTATTGAAATCGATATATATATATATATAGAAAACCCAAGTATATGTTTATATGTAGGGCATTTGTTTGGTGTTAATGTCTGGTCAATTTTTTGCATACGGAACGCAAGATGTTCGCAACTACTTAATAGACCCTCCCCAGTTCCACGTAGAACCCCCCCCCCTGCCTCATATCCCCCGCAGGCTAAGTTTAGTTTAGTGGCAAAGTCGAAAACACCAAAAGTGGAAAAACGAAGTAAAATACAACTTATAAACATGAAAATATAATCAATACTAAACTTAGTGGATGTAATCGTACGATTTTTTTTGTTTTTTTTTTGTGTAACTGTAATATTAAAATGTATTAGGCATAGTAATATCAAGCGAATATCTAAAACTATAATGGATAAGAGTGTGTGAAAGAGAAGTGAGAACGAGAACGGGGCGGCAATACATACATATAGTCGGGAAATCGGATCACGCGTACATACGCAGATTATATCAGTATGTGTGTATATGTGTGCCTGCTTTTCTGTAGGATCGTAAGTTTTAATGTTACCCCTTACGAAATACGAAATCGGGCAAGAGGCATTAACCAAGACCCCAAAAAGAAAAAAGGAGATCTAAAAAATAGATTAAAATTCAGTGCAATACATTCAACCAAACGAGGGCAAAGCGAAAAACCAAAATCGTAATAAACTAATTGTGTAAGCTTAAGTAAACAAAGTAGTTGAACAAAAAGTCACGTTTTTTTTTTGTATCGTCATACGTCTAATCTTAAACCTAACTATAACTAAATAAAACGAAGGAAATAAATCGTAGAACGGAGAAGGGAGGAGGCAACCCCAAAACCGCAAGGTAATTTAGACGAATTTTAAAAAACCAAAAAACCAAATCGAAAAAGTTTAAAACAAAAGAAAACGAAGGGCAAGGAGCGAAGCAGTATGAAAATAAATAGCAGGCTTAACGAAAATCATCGTACTAAATGAAGTAATACATTACGATGATTAAAATAATTACACTAAACTAAATATAAATCTAAACTATATATATATAATATGATATTGTATTGTATGACAAGAAAAAATTCTGTAATTTACAAGCGAAAAATATTTTATGTGATCATTGTCTTTTTTTTTAATATTACAAGAAATAAATAATTCAAATACCAAATAAAGGATATACACAATAATATGGAATGGTTGTTTTGGTTTAATATTTGAAGGGTTTTTTGAGTTTTCAATGGTCAGATTATCTCTGTTAAAACCAAATGAGTAATTTTCAAATCTTTACATGATAATGATATATTCCGATAATTATTCTTAATTGCCTTGCCTACACTTGGTTACCAGAATACTCATTTTCTGGCCTTTGCATTAGCATAAATCAGTGCTGAATTGTTTCTCTTTTTTTTTGGGTATTTGCGAACAGTGGTAATCGAATGAAAAATGCGCAGCAATTTCTTGGCAACGTTTTTAATTTCAATTAGCCACTGCCACTGACCAAAAGGACCTCCAACCGAAGGACCGCTAAGCGATGAAGGATGCTGGTCAAGGAGGATGGGCTGGCCATGTTCTCCGGTTAGCTGCCACTTGATTTATGTGGCTTCATTAGACATTCCGCACATTCGGCTGGTGGGCCGAGGGGCTAAGTGATTGCCAAAAACACAATTAGAAGCAAACCGAAACCGAAAACGAAAAGCGTTACTTCAATGAGCGATAAATGGAGGGGATGTGGAATGTGGATCTCCCCCTTTCCCCTTCCTTTTCCCAAAGAATTTTGGTAGTTTTCCGATTGACCAGCATGGAATATTTTTGGTTGTTCCCACCTCAAGCACTCAAAGTAAAAAAAAAAAAGGAATCAAAAAAGGGTTCCCGGGTCCGGTTTTTGGTTTTTGGTGTTTTGTGTTTGCTCTCGTGTGAGCCGCAAAAATATTTGCATAGTTACCTTTAATGTGGTTCGGTTCAGGTCGGTTCAGAGTTCACAGTTCACAGTTCACAGTTTGCAGTTCACAGTCTCGATGCAAAGTTCTTCAAAAACAAACGAACAAAAGTTTTCTTTGCACAAACACACACACATATATGCTGGCATGTAATTTAAAATGAAAAATTCTATTCTTTTGACGCAATCACAAACACAGACACAGCAACACACACACATACGTCAGCGAGCATTGATTTCATTTGCATAAATAAGGAAAAACTCCGATGGCCGGGGGAAAGTCTGGCCCCCGAAAGGGGATGGGGCTGAGGGCGGGATATGTGGGCGGATTGGGGTTCACAAAAAGGAGTTGGGGGCTCGAAGGACCTCTCTGTGCCACTGATAACGTGCGCCGAATGAAACTATTGCCTACTTTCGGGCGCCAAGCAAAAGTACTTGTATACTTGCACAGTGGGACAAAGTGCCTGGAAAAGGTGATGGAAAAAGTTTTAAATATTTACAATTTTTTATAAAATATGTGCAATAAAATTTTCTAAAATATGTTTATTTTTTTAAATTGCTTATTTTTTTCTATAAAATAATTTGTATACGTGGATCGTACCAAGTTCGCTCCACCACTCTGCCACCAAAACCTCTTCTCCTTCCCTTTCCCAACCCCTTCCCCAAACCCCTACCCAAACCCCTTCCCAACCCCTTCCACCTATGCGTACGCTGGAGGCGGCGGCAGTCAAAAATCGCATAAATTAAAAAACTGCACACACTCACGCACAGACATGCGATGGATGGGAGGTGGGTGGGGGGCGGTGGTTGAGGCAATGGCAACCCTTTGTGCCAATCCCCCGCCCAGCTGTCGCTCACCACCAAGGAAGTAATAAAGTATCTCGAAAGTAACTTATTAACCATGCTGACAACGCTGCCAGCGAAGCTCCTGGAGCTCCAGACACACACACAGCCGGAGCCAGGATACCAGGACATCGGGATGTGTCTGTGGAACACACGCACACACTCGCATACCTCCGGTGGGGGGTCGGGGTTACTTTGGAGTGGGCCTCGGGTAGTCATGTTTCATGTTTGCTAATTGCAAGTCGATTTTTCATTTCGCATTTCTCTCCAGAGTGTCGTAGTGGACCTGGGACCGGGATCGAGACCGGGACCAGGACCTCAACCTGAAGCCAAACCTGAATCCCCAACCGCACCGGAGGTCCAAAACATGCACAGAAAAAAAAGATTATTGTAAGTTAATGCCTGATAAGATCTGGAAGTTTGTAAAATTACTATTGAAAAATTAAAAAAAAATGTATTAAGTAAAAAGGTAAATGCATGTATAAGTTTCTAGGAAAATAAGCTGTATTTCTTGGTTACTAATCAAACAAGTATTGATTATTAGGAATATTTTTAATTGCTAAATAATAAAATTTGATATATATATATAAAACTCTTCTTTGTCTTTATAAAAGGAAGTAGAAAATTTACAACGTTCCTAGTTTTACCAAATATTCATACCACTTATATGGTACAGTTTTTCTAAGAACTGACAATTAGTACCATTAACAATAACTAGTGAAATAATTTTTATAAAATAGTAATACTTTTTACCATTTTCTGTTAGTGCCCCAAAGGAGCTGGACAAGGAACTGATTGAGTCTGTGGAAATTGTTGAGGTTTCCGCTGACCCACTCAACGACGGATCCGCATCCTCATCCTCATCCTCATCCTCATTCTCATTCCGGAAGGGACTCACGCAAAAGGGCAAAAATATTTAATTTAAAGCAGCATAAAAACAAAGACGACGACAGAGGAGGAGAGCAAATGGTTAATTTAATTACAAATTCTTTGCTTTCTTTTGCATTCGTATTAAATTTTCATGGGGTCCTGACATCGGCTTCCTGTGGATGAATATGTGTGTGTTGGTACTCATGTGGTGGTGGTTGGGCACCTGCTGTCATTGCCGTCTTTGCAACATTTTGGCCGCTTAAATACCCAAGAGACTTGAGAGAAAGCATCCACACACACAGAAACTCGGCTAAATCACCCACCCACCCCTTCACACACACACACACCCATACGTGGACACGCTGATTGTCCTTTCAATGAAAAATAGCGCTCATTAATGCTGCTCATTAGCAGGACCACGGATCCTGCTCCTTGACTTTGCCCTGTTAGTGACATTCCCTTACGTGTCCAAGGACCTTGCCACCCCCTTTTAGCCCCCCCTTAACACCCACCACCCTTGGCCATTCGGCAAGTGTCAACTGGCAAATGATTTGCCATTATTTACTAATAAAACTCATCGAGTTTCGGGCCCACTGCTAATCGAATGTGTGTGCCCAGGAGCCACCCAACCACTTTGCCAGTTCGCCCCGACTCCTCGTAAACTAGCAGGGAAGAGGAAGAAGATGTCCTGGACAAGCGAAGGACTCTTAATTCGAAGCGACTCACACGTTTACGCTGGCAAATGACCTCAATCAGCGGGCTCATCGGAGGAGCAGGGGAGAACTGGAGTACTTGAGTTTACTCAAGTTTAAGTCCTTAAAACAGGATAGGTTTTTTTCTAAGCAAAATATGTGAAAAAATTCCATATAACTCATATTTTCGATATGATTAGATATACAGTTTTCCTTTTTAATTTCTAAATAGTGAGGGAAATTAGGGAAATACAAATAAAGAAAGAAAAAACATTTATTAAAAATTTTTAATTATAAATATAAAGACTACTGATTCAAGAAAATTTAACAAATAGCTTTTAAAAGTGCTTAGTAATTGAGAAATAAACATAAACATAAACCCTAAATCCCAGACGATCAGTAATCTCTGGAATATTTACCATCATAATTATTTACATGGATTGAATCAATAATTAAAATATTATATATGAAAAGGGTCTTCAGATATCCAATTGAGTATCCCCTTCCGATATAACTGCTGACCTAAAAGCTGATGATCAAGTAAACAAATTGATTTCATCTCTCGCCAAAATAAAGAAGCTCAAATGTGCATATAAACAAGAGTAATTTGCCCTTTTTTCGCCCCTTTCGAGACAGAAATGAGTGTCATATTCGCATAGAAATAACATCAGCTTTTCGGACTCGGCTCCATTTGTTTGATTATATTCTGTCCAAGTAATGACAATGGTTGACCAAACGAAACGAAAGTGTGTGGTAATCTTTCATATCGATTCAATAGATGGCTTCCGGTTCGATTCCGGTGCCTGTCAATCAGCAGAGGTCCCACATGGTTTACCACCGGAGTCAGGGGTTCGATCCCCCTAAACTCCTTTGTCAGGATTCTTGGACTCCTGCCTGCCAGTCAAACTCTTTTCGGCTGCCGTTTAATTTCGTTTATTCATTCGAACGACCACAAAATGACATTTGCATTTGGGCAGCGGTCAGTCGAAGTTCCAGAATCCCCAATTCCGAACCCAGGTCTCATGTGCTGTTCTCCCGGGATTCCCGTGAGATTTTGAGATGGGGCAAATCTCCGGGGGGCTTGGGTTTCGTAACAAATGAATGGCTCAGTGGCAAAAATTTGTTTTGACAACTGAAGATGCTCGCAGCAGGCAAAGTGCAAAATTTATAAAACGCAAAAGTGCGAAACTATCAAATGTCCAGGCGAAGTGAAGTGAAGTTGGAGTGTGTATGCGTGTGTAATTAATTCTCTGCTGAGTCGGCAAACGTAGGCCCAGCCAAAAAAGCACAATTAAATGCACAACAAAAACAGCAGCTTTTCTGGACGTGGCATGACCAACTACATTGGTTTCTAGCATATAATAATACAATTTTATGAAATATTTTAAATTTTTTAAAATAGTTATTTACGTACTTAATTTATTCTGCTTTTATAGAAAATTATTAGTTAGTAGGTGATTAAAAAAGTATTTCAATAAAAAATAAGCAATTCGTTATTTATAAAACTCATTCAACAATTAAACATTTTTTTTAATTGTCTTGAAATACTCAATATTTTAAGAATATAAATTCTCATTATTCCAGGAGATTAAATTATTTTACAAGGCTATGAAAATCAGCAATGCTAAAATATATTTCTTAAAAAGTTCAAAAAGTTACTGTTTGAATTTATTTACAATTTTAAAGCTTTTCTTAAGGACCAATATTAACTTTAAATATGATTTTTATTATTTTATTATTTATTTTTTATTATTTTATATGGTTTTCTTGCATTTTTAAACCAATGTGCATGGCAGCTCAACTGCAAATGGATAACTACTATTTTTCGGATGCTGTAACTGTGGCCCGTTGCCGGATTCGTCGTCAACAGCTTTATACGTATACATATATACATATATAGTCAGAGCCATCGTCATCGTGGCCGTGGCCAAAAAGCAATTAGCAAAGTTTTCAGTCTCCAAAACACTCACTCCTCGCATGGACAAAGGGGGCTGCAGGGGGGACAAAAAGGATGAAGGATGAAGGATGAAGGGGAGGTGGCCACACTTAGCCGGCCATCATCAATCTGGTGCAGTTGCGCAACCCAACCCAATCCCAATCCCAATCCCAATCCCAGTTCCAAGTCCAAGTCGATCGGAATCCGCTCCTCCATCAAATGCAGTTGCACCTAAAATCCAACTAACTATCAGCTGCCATGGACAGAATTATCCACTGATATTTTTTTTAAACGGAAAGAATAGTTTATTAAATACCTACCAAATTTAAAAACATCCTCTCAAGGTTATTAAAAAAAAGTTTAAGTTTAATAAATAAAATAAATTATTATTAATAATAGGAATTAATAAGAGAAATCAATAACAAAATTAATAAAATAATAATAAATATTGGTTAAATAATCAAGATAGGTACCAAAATATTCTTAGAAAATAATATTCTGAAGCACCCATAAAAATTTTAGAATTTCTGCCTTTTAAAACAGAACCAATATATATTTAAATACGATATAAAAATGAATTGAATATTATATCCGTTTCTCTCGCTGTGCGACAGGCGCGACCATCGCCATTCGCAATTATTCATGGGTAATCTAACCCAAAATGGGACGTTAATTACTGGCGCATGTCAGTGGCATTTGCCCCCCTGAATCTGACCCCAGACCACCTAACTTCCTTTTCGGCAATGTGTAACTGTGTTGTGTGGTGCGGCGTGAACTGCACAGGCACGGGCAACAATTTGCTTTTTTGTCCAACTGCAAACAGTGCGGAATCCGTACGCCCAAATCCCCAGAAGTCCGCTCTCCCCGGCCATTTATCGGGTGATTAATTAAGCTGCAAGGACCAGCGAATGCAACTTTCTGCCGCTGACAACTCTCCATGGCCATTAAAGGATTCCACAAATTATTTGATTAAATAATAGGGAAATTACTACCCGTAAAATGTAAGGATTAAATCTGAAAAACCAGATTTTAAATTAGATTATTAGATTTAAAAGAATCATCCAACTAACCCAGTACAATTAAAAAACAGCATAACTTTGGTAAGATCTTTAGAAATAAAACAGTTGCACACTTCGGTCAGACAAATGACATTTTATGAATAGAGTTAGTAGAGGTGGTCAGAAGTGAAGTGAAAAAAAAATATGATTCAGTTCCCGCGGACAAATAATAGTCGAATACTCAAGTCGAATGAGTAAAATGCAGGGATCTGTTGTAAAACCTCCAGATAAATCCTAAGCATGCGGGGTGTTAGATTTAAAAAAAACACGTATGCGTATGTATAATTAGACTTAGGGCTAAGTGCGGCTGGCGGCCAGCTAAGTGCCTAGCTGTGGCCCAGCTTGTCCGCGATGAACTTGACGAAGTCGCTGCGAAACAGGATCTTTGGATTGTCCTCGCTGGCCAGCTCCTCCACCTGGCGCAGGTCCGTCCACTTCCAGAGCAGGCGGCGCGAGTAGCTGTGCCGGAACGAGGCGAAGATCTCGGCGGCCTTCTTGCTGGGCAAGTGCTCCTTGTAGTACGACTCCTTGTTCGTCACGTTGAAGTAGTACAGCTGGCCGCGGGATCGCGAGTGGGCGGACACGTAGTTGGTGGTCAGTTCGCAGAACATCAGTATGCCGCCGGGCACGAAGAACTTGTTGTCGTCCAGCGCATAGCCGAATCGCTGCGAGTTGTCCTTGAGCACATAGTGTCGCATGTCCGCGAAGAAGCTGCCCATGTCCTGCAGCCGGAAGAAGGGCTTGCTGCGCAGCGCCCCGAACGTTCGCTCCTTGCGATGCGGCTTATTTAGACTCCTGGCGAACTTGTCGCACATGCTGACGCGTTCGCGGAAAGGCCGTCGCCGTATGTCGATGCCGCCCAGGCAAATGCCGTCGATGATGTGCAGCGCGGCCACCCGCTGGATCGTCCTGCCCTCGCCGTAGAACTCGTACACGATCTGGCCGAAGAAGATGGAGCGCGGCTGCACCTCGAAGGCGGTCTCCACCAGCTCCCACTTCTTGTGCTCCGTGTAGCGCAGTAGATTGCCCCGCGACTTGCAGAGGAACAGGGTGCAGGCATTGATGTTGGTCTCCTCGCGACCCACGGGCACAAAGTACCAGTCGGCCACGTTCTTCACGGCCATATTCAGGCTGGCCACGCCGCTCATCTCGGCAGCCGTCAGATTCATCCAGCCGCGATCGGCCGCCCAGTCGGCGAGCAGCTCCTCCAGCAGCCTGTCCGTCGGCTTGATCTCGGGCGCCTGGCGCAGCTTGTCGGGCAGACCCCAGCGCTTGAGGCACTCCTGCCGCACCTCCGACTGCCGGGTCTCCTTCAGCTCGGGATTCTGGGCGAAGGCGGCTATCTTGCGCAGACCGACGATCTGCTTGCGCCCGATGGCGTTGTTCGAGTCGACGATGTAGCGCAGGAAGTCCTCGTCCTCGGCCAGCTCGTTGGCATCGAAGATCTCCAGCACGTCCTCCTGCCGCTGCGCCGCCGCCTCCTCCTCCTCGCCCAGCATAATGTTCACCGCATTCAGGTAGCCCACGATCGCGGCCGTCTCCGCGTCCGACCGCTTGTACTTGCAGACCAGGTAGCGCTCCGAGTTCGCCGGCCGGCTGCTGTTCGGCTTGATGATGGCTATCTGCCGGAAGCACTTGTACATCAGATAGACCAGGCCCACGCTGAACGGCGTGAACAGATCGAAGACCTTGCAGACGAAGCTGCCGTTGGGCCGCAGAATCTTCAGGGCGGTGAGGAACTGGCAGAGGTACAGCTGCTTGGAGAGGATCTCCTGGATGTTCTCCTGCCCCTCCACCGAGAAGCCGCCGTCGGCCATGGCGAAGTGAACGCCCTGCGGCGTGTGCAGGCGGATGTACTCGTTCAGCGAGTCCTGGTTGCCCTCATCGAAGATGTTGCCGTCCTCCTTCACGCCGTAGAACGTGTCAAAGGACTCCGGCGAGGCGGCAAAGAACTTCTCCAGCTTGAAGTCGTTGGCGCCGCGCAGCGTGAAGCCGAAACCCTTGGCCTCCCAGGATTTGCGGAAGAGCACGTACTCGGAGAAGCCGCCGGGGCCTGCGGGAAAACGGAAATGATGAGCAAACGAAAGTGTAATTGATAAGGATAGTCTGCACCTGCACACATGTCTGTGAAGTAGAGCAGCTCGTCGGCCGCCACCAGAGACTGGCCGTCGGGATCGCGCGGGTTGGTGAACATAAAGTCGCACATGGAGTCGATGTTGGCCATCTTGACGGCGGCGCGGTTGAGGAAGATGGAGCTGCGGATGGTCTCGAAGGGATTGCAGCGGGAACGCGCCCGCCGCTTCTCGCTGTCGTTGAGATCATCGAACACCGTTTTGGCATTGAGGATGTGATGCAGGGTGGCCGGATCGCAGTAGCGCGTCTCCTCGTCGAGGGTCAGCTTCTTTGGTCCGGTGACCAGGTGGCCCATTAGCTGGTCGAGGGTGTAGGATTCACCACCGCCGGGATTGTGGAGCCAGAGAACCGGCTCGGGAATCTCGAGCTCCTCGCAGGCGGGATCCCACTGGCCGGCCGAGGATTGCACCGTGTCCAGCTTGAGGCCGAAGCCACGGCGACCGTCCTGCTGCACCGCAATCACCGGCTCCAGGCGACCCTGGTTGCTCTTGCCCAGACCCTTGTCGTTCTCGTAGCCCATCTTCTTCATCATCTCCATCGCCTTGTTCGAGTAGCTCTTCACCCACTCCCGCTTGATCTTCTTGGGCGTGGGCTCCGAGTTCTCATCGTCCGACGGCTCGTCCATCTTGCGCTGGCGTCTGGCAACTGGCTACTGGAATCTGAGTCTGATCCGGGCTCCGGGATTTGGATTTTAGGGGATCCTCGAATTTCTGCAGCAATTTTTTGTTTATTTGGTATATGAGTGGACCGTTCGCCGAATGCCGCTAAATACCGGAGCCAAATACCGCATGGCCTGCTTGCCCTTGGGAAAATACCGCAAAAATACCGCAAGCAGTCAAATTGGCGATTTCGTTGTGAATTCAAATTGTATTGTTCAAAAATACTGTTATATGTAACCCAAACATTAATAAATTCCATTTATAAGATATATAAATGTCCATCGATTGGAAATTTAATAACGAGTTCAGAAAGGTATGACAATCCATACTTGAATGAATGTTTCTATTTTTTTGGTCAAAAGCGAATTATTATTCTTCTTCTTTTCGTGGAAATTCGGTATTTGATTTTTTGGTAAAAATATGAATTTTTATTTTTTGTTTTTTTGCTGTAACTTGGCCAAAAATGGTTCTACACCAAAAATACATACTGCTTTGAACAGATAACAAAATTATTAATAAATCCATAATACTTTTCGTGTGATTTTGGAAAAATAAAATTTTCGCCAATTTTTAATGATGATTTTTTGCGAAAAATTAAAAATAAATAAAATGTCAAGGTTTAAATGCCAATCGTTAGGAAATTTAACAACGAGTTCAGAAAGGTATGACAATCCATACTTTGAATCAGTACTTTTTTTGTTTTAGCGAAAAAACAGATTTGTTTTAGCGAAAAAACCGGTTTTGTTTTTTTTTTGGAAATTCGTAATTTTAGTTTTTGACAAAACTGGAATTTTTTCTTTTGGTTTTTTTGCTGTAACTTGGCCAAAAATGGTCCTACACCAAAAATACATACTGCTTTGAACAGATAACGAAATTATCAATAAATCCATAACACTTTTCGTATGATTTTGGAAAAAATAAAATTTTCGCCACTTTTACTTTTTTAAGGATTTTTTGAGAAAATTGGCAAAAAAATAAAATAGGCAGGTTGAAATGGCAATTAAGTGGAAATAATATAAGTTAAAGCAATAATCATATAATCTTATTTTATTCTACAGGAGTAGTACAGAATTCCATTCATATTCACTTAATTATGGGCTAACAAGCCAAGCTTTTTAAATAACTCCAATGTTTAGCTTAATTCCATGTTTATAACTTAGGTTTAGGTGTTAAAAATAAGAAAAAAAAAGTGCTGAATATCCATTTCTTCAGTGGCATGGTTGATTCTTCAAGAATTCATCTGGATCCTGACCTCCAACCCCTTTCCATTTTGGGGGAACCTACAAACGACCCCTACATCTTCTCGTAGGTCTCGCTGTACGGACAGGTGAGGCAGGTGTGCGTGTAGGTGTCCTCCGCCTCGTCGTAGGTGTCCGGCCCGAACTCGTGTTCGTGGACGGCGTGCGTCTTCTTGGTGTAGATGCTGCTGCGCACCTCCATGCGCAGCTGCTTCATCTGCTTGTTGTACTTGCGCGCCTTGCCCACCTCGCGCTTGTCCTCGCGGGCCTCGTGCTGGCGCACCAGCTCCTCCTCGCTGCCCCAGACCTCCAGGGCGCGCTGGTGGATCTGCAGGTGGAGATAGAGCTTCATCTCGCCCCAGCGCACGTTGTGCGGATTCTTGCGGCTGATGTAGCGCAGCCTGGGCTCCCGCTTGTCGAAGTCGCAGTCCTTCAGCAGGTACTCCGCCTTGGCCTCCGTCCGGGTGATCAGGGCGTGGCGATCCTCGTTGTCCCGGCACTTGTCGCACACCGAGTGCCCGAAGTTGTTGAACAGATACGAGTCGGCGTACATGTCGCCACACTCCAGGCACTCCTCGTACTGCACGGGAATGGCGATGGCGTCGTCCAGGATGGGCGGCGCCTCCTCGGCGGACCGGTTGAGACCAGCTGCACCTGGTGCTCCTGGAGCGGTGGGCAGAACGGGCTGCTCCAGCAGGAAGCCGCCGCCGGAATCGATGTACTTGGTGCCCTGCACCTTGATCACGGAGCTGCCCTGGCTGAGAGCCGCCTCCGGGTGGCTGCCGTCCTTGTTGCTACGGGTTATTAGATGGGATTGGATGAGCTTACATCTCTTGGGGACTCTGGAGAACTGCTCACCTGGCCAAATCCTTGAAGGGATGCAAAACCAGCTTGGCCTCCCGCAGCTTCTGCGCCTTCGCCAGATTCCGCTCGATGCGCGCCTTCTGGGCATTGGTCAGCTTGGAGACCGGCGCCGCCGGCGGAGCAACTGCATCGGTGGACGCTGCCTCGGACATTTCGATTTCACAAGGTTTTTAGTTTGAATTTTTGTATATGAAATGCTTCTTCTTGCCGATTTGACATTCCAAGCGAAAGCCTCTGTATCCATTTGGTATTTTTTGGTTTTAAATGGGCTGGCGGTATTTTTTAAGTCTGTAAAGCTAATTTTACTTCTAATAAGATTATACAAAATTTACAAATTCAATAAATTAAAATAATACCTGGCTCATATTTAAATACGAATGTTTTAACAAATTAACCAAAACAAAAATATAGTTATTTGCAGTATTTTCACTTCCAATTGCTTGTAACAGTTATGTAGAAAAAGTTTACTTCTAATAAGAATAAATTGAATTTTGAATTATAAAATATTTATTTATTGTCAGGTTAAAAAGATTATAAAATATAATTCCAGGCTTTAATTTAAATATAAATGATTTACAAAATTAACCGTAACCAAAATATAGTTTACAATTAGTGGATTAGAAATGTTTCGGTATTAATTAGGCTTGCGGTATTTTCAAATCCAATTGCATGTAAAAATGATGTAGAATATTTGTACTTATAAAAAAAATAATAATAATAATAATAATAGGAATAATTTAATATAATTCCAGACTTTAATTTAAATATAATCTTTTCGGTAAATAAATCACACATATTGGTTTACTACTTAAAATAAATAAATGGTTCTCCTTGTTTCTCCCAGTGTATCTAGTACCAAAAATCTGGTATTTTTCCGCACCCCATTTGCTCACTGTTTTGTTTTGGTTCGATCGCCATGCAATTGCCACTGCAAATGCAGAGCAAGCACCGCAAACTGGTGCTGCGGTGCCTCCTGGTGCTGCCCCTCATCCTGCTGGTGGACTACTGCGGCCTGCTGACCCACCTGCACGAGCTGGACTTTGAGCGGCACTTCCACTACCCGCTGGAAACGGATTCTAGTGGCTCCTCCGGCTTGGAGAAGTTCTCCTACCTGCGGGTGCCCTCCTTTCAGGCGGAGGAGCAGCCTCCGCGGCTCACGCTGCTCATCAAGAGCGCCGTGGGCAACGTGCAGCGGCGGGAGGCCATCCGGCGGACGTGGGGCTACGAGGGGCGCTTCTCGGACGTCCAGCTGCGCCGCATCTTCCTGCTGGGCCAGTCAGCCCTTGGAGGCGAGAAGGACGTGGCCTGGGAGTCCCGCGAGCACGGCGACATCCTCCAGGCGGACTTCGCCGACTCCTACTTCAACAACACGCTGAAAACCATGCTGGGAATGCGCTGGGCCAGCCAGCAGTTCAACCGCAGCGACTTCTACCTCTTCGTGGACGACGACTACTATGTGTCGGCCAAGAATGTGCTAAGATTCCTCGGCCGCGGACGCCGCAGCCACCAGCCGGAGCTGCTCTTCGCCGGCCATGTCTTCCAGACGTCGCCGCTGCGCCACAAGTTCAGCAAGTGGTACGTTTCTCTCGAGGAATACCCCTTCGATCGCTGGCCGCCCTACGTCACCGCCGGCGCCTTTGTGCTCTCGCGGAAGGCGCTCCTCCTGCTCTACGCCACCAGTCTTCACCTGCCGCTCTTCCGCTTCGACGACATCCACCTGGGCATCGTGGCCCTCAAGGCGGGCATTCCGCTGCAGCACTGCGAGGATTTCCGCTTCCACAGGCCCAACTACCGGGGTCCCGACAGCTACGCCTCCGTGATTGCCTCCCACGAGTTCGGCGATCCGGCGGAGATGAGCCGCGTGTGGAACGAGTGCCGGTCCGCCAACTACGCGTAGCAGGAGGTTAAGGATTAGGATTCCCATCGATAGATTGTACATACGGATGAGTCACTAGAGCAACAGCCTTGTTAAAGTAAAGTTATAGATGATAAACCGACTGTTTGTGGAGATTTTAAACCCATCATATTGTAGGAATAGTGTTAAAAACCAGGGACCGTAAATAATCATTATTTGAGATTGAGTTTTAGTCAACAATTTAACTGCTTTTTATGCACTTTATAGACATAAACAAATAACAGTTAACTTGCTTTCCAGATTTGTTGACATGCATATACTTTGTGGACAAGAGTAAAATGAACGTTATTTTTGACGTTTAAAAGAAAAAATCACAGTAGTCTTTTTAAAATAAAAATCTCAAATAATGATTATTTACGGTCCCTGTTAAAAACCTTTTTTTGTATTGTATTGTATTGAATTATCCACTAAATAGGCGTGAAAAATAGGTAAATGCTGATTAACTTAAAGTTTGTGTAATACAATTTAAGCCAAGTTTAGTTTAAATAAAGTTAAAAACAAAAAAAATCAGTTAAATTATCAAGTATATATATTATTTTCAAATTGATCATAAAAATAAAATAACTAGAGGTCCACAGTTTTAAGGTATATATTTATAACTATCATATGTACATTTGATTTTCCAAAAACCATCCATCAAAAGTTTCGTTTTTTAATTATTATTTTGTACATTAATTGTGAAAAAATAAAATGTTAGTCTATAATTGTTTGTATAGATATATAGAGCAAGGTTATTTCTTCAGACAGTTAAATACCTAGCCTCCCATAGATAAGTGCAGCGAGGAATCACAGGAGGTGGTGTCGTACACCACCCCAGGTGTACACATTCTACACCTAAGAAGTTTACGATACCTTCTCCTGACGGTCCTAGCAGCATTTATCAACAGGGGCTAGATCACTGCACACCAGTCTCCCGTATTTAACTCATGGAGAAAAAAGTTAACATGGTCATCATCTATGATTATAATAACTTGTTAGTACAAAAAACTAATTTATTGCAATACAATTACCTTTCGTCGGGAAATTTGCATACTGTTGCATAGGCTATCATAACGTAGTAAAGGACAGACAGCCAGGGATCCTGAATAAAAAAAATATATATGCGTACAGTTCATAGGGAATATTTAATTAACTTACCCGCCGGTTAACTTAAAATTTTTACTGAATTTTTTTATTTCCAAAAGAAAATAATACTGCTCCAGTCGAGCTCTGCTGGCTAACTGAAAGTGTTTCGTATTGGGTTTGCCTTTATGATATTGACAGTTCGATTTGTTCGATGACAAGCTATCCAAGGATAGCGTGATTGAAAATTGTTGAAATTCTACTTTAAAAACAATTTAAAAACTTGTTTATAAAAAACCTCAAAGTAAATTGTGTATTTACAATAAATAGTTTTAGAAATAGTTCAGTTTCCTTATTTTTATACCCTTGCAAATATTTATTAGTGGAGAAACTCGAATCTTCTACTCTTGGGAATATCACTTTCTTAATATTTCTGAATTTCGAATTGAATTTTTGAAAAATCGCACAACCGTTTGTGTAGGATGGTGTATCTGCTTGTCTTTGCTGGGTGTGTGCACTCGCTAATTGTTATCTTTGCAGTGTGACCAAGCCTTCGTAAGTGAGTAAATCCACCGAAACCCAAGGCGAACGCCTAGCCAGTTTAGCGGCGGTATAAAAACCGGGGATCTCCGCCGAGCGCCAGTATTAAATCTGTGACGTCAAGAGCTCCGCTTCGAAACCGCGACAAACCGAGGGTTAAACAGCCGCCAAGTGTACAGCTACTATACAGATAGATATATATAAGGCCCGACCCCGCCAGCATCCCAATTTGCAGTAATCCTCTTTGCTTTGCCAATCCAAAAAACCAACGCCAAAAACCAAATCAAGGTGAGCTTACTGTTTTTTTTTTGGAGGTACTCTAAAATTTTAATTGTAACTTATTTCAATTTTCGATGGGGGATCGCCGGTAGTTTCAAGAGAGGGGGGTTTGCAAAAGAAAAAAGAAGTGGGGGAAACTAACTGGTTTTTGTTGACTGCGCTTCTTCATTGATTGCAAAAATGGCAGCGGATTTGTTATAAATATTTATTGTGCTGGTCTAGTCCGTTACTTTTTGCTCTTTCTCTTCATTTTCATCTCCTTTCTTTGGCTTTGTAACTTTTTTCTGCAGCTGTTGAAGCGCTTTTGTCGTCGCCTCTTTTGTTGACTATTTTTCTTTTTTTTTGTTTTTTGTATTTTGTGTGGTTTAAACTTCAGATTTGTGGCTGTGTGTGTGTGTGAGCGAGTGCCGGCCGGCATTTCACTTCTTTTTTCGCCGTCTGCCGCTTGTATATATGCGAGTGTGTGTGCGTGTGTGCTTGGGCGGGGCGCATGTGGTTGTTGTTGCTGCCGAATATCCTCCCCCACAGTGGGCGTCACGAAAAAAGTAACACTTTGTCTGCGATTGTTAGGAAAAATGATATAAACATTTATACAAGCTATTAAGTTGCAAAAAAAAACTTATAAAAAATTTTAAAGTTCTTGTGTAGAGTTTCGAAATTGTTTTATTGAAAAAAAAAATCTAATTATACAAAACAAATGTAAGCTCAACAAATTTATTTAGTTAGCTTTACCTAAAATTTAATACTTAATACTTCGACTAAGTTTGGCATTTTAATTAAATCAAACGAAATGATCTAAAATAAAGAACTTTTAGAAGAAATTAAATGATTCAAGATAAGAGCTAAAAAACCTCCCGAGATAAGATGGCAACTTGAACTTGTATTTTCATAGGCATGAAGTCACTGGAATTTACATAGACATTATTTTAAAAGTCCCATCCTATCGCCGTGACCTCGGCTGTAGAATGCACCAGTGTGTGTGTACGAGTTGCGAATTTTACTGGGCGTGGTACGTGGATATCCAATATCCAGCGATTTTGAAATTGAATATATGACTAAACGCAGCCGCCTGCATAAATTGTGTTCATATGTGTATATAATGTGCACAGAAATAAAATGTATAATGTGAGTGCTTAAAATTCACTGCAAGTCGCCGATTGTCCCTCTCGTTCTCTCTCTCACACACACCAGTGCATTTGTGCAGGAGTTGAGTTGAGGGTGTAAATGTAAAGCGGACGTGTCTGTCATTTCACATTTCTCATTTCCCCCCCCCATCCATCTCCCCCATTTCCTTTGCGCTCTCTCCACCCTTTCTTTTCGCCTCCTTTTTGCACTCCGTTCGTCGGCTGGCTGCCACGCATCAGCAGCTTTAACTCATTTTGCTTTACATATACTCCTATTCTTGTTCCCCAAACAAATTCTTTTTGTTTTTAACGGTCTCTTGGCGCCGTCTCACTCACACCCCCAAAAAAAGAGAGCTACAAGATATATCTGTAAAAGAATTAACCAAAAACAGGAAGGGAGAAAGAAGAGAAAAGCTTACAAAGTCAAGAGAAGAAGAAGAAGCACAGCTGTGTGGGCAACGATAAATTCAAGCAAACATATGTATATATGTATGTGTACATATGCAATATAAACCGATGATTCATCGGCGGCTTTTAAGCGGGGCGACCATATTTCGAATTGAAGTTGGAAGTTGATTCACTTCACGGCGAACTTCATTGCCCCCTCCCACTTCCCACCTTCCCCTCCCCCTCCCAATCACTCCCACTTTGTATGTATGCGAAGTTGTTGTTGTTTTATTGCCTCTCCTTTGTTCGCTGCAAGGAGCTGACTAATGCGACACTCGGTTTACACGATGACCAATTAATCGAAATTCAAATTAGGCGTTAGGATCGTCAGAAGTCAAGCTTATCTTTGAATTACTACCGTATTTTTTATCATTTATGAATAATTTATTCAAGTTATGATCGTAAAACTTAAGGTTCAGTTACCGCAAGCAAGATACCATCATTTCCAAATGAGTTACGTTTGTATAAATAATTTCGAGATCCAGATTACGAATCGTTCGGTTGTTTAGTTGGGTTTTCTCATAATTCGTTCATCGGCGTTATTTTTAGTAGCGATAAAAAATTATGAGCAATTCATCAGCATTATCAGAATGAAGATTAGCAATCAATTAATCATCAGTAAGAATTTTAGGAAATAAATACAAGTTTATAAACTGTTTACAGATGCTTGAAATAAATACCACTGAGATCGTAATAAGTCAAGCTTTTAGTTAGTAGATCGCGATGAAAGTGCGCCATGAACCGAGTGAGTTAAGATAGGCTTTTGATTTTGAGAGGGGTGGAAAGGGGGGAGGGGAAATCGACGGCCGTTAGTCAGTTAGTCAATCAACGTGATTGGCCAGCCGCTTGAGGCGCAGCTTACGACCATTTATGGCCATAAATGTGCAAATAAATAAATATAGATTCGCGATGCCTTTTCTCTCTGTTTCTCCGTTTTGTTTTTGGCGCGGTCGCTGCCCTTGTAACGATTGCATTTCGGTTTCAGCATTTCGCATTTAGCAGCTGTTCAATCGAACGCAATTGCAAATGGCAATCCAATCAGAACGATGATGATGGCTTCTGATAGCGGCGATATCGATACACAAAGACGATTCTTTGTCCAATAAGGAAGGAATGGAATGGAGTATGTTGCGAAATGCACGCACACTCGTTTCTCAATTTCGCAACTAAAAATAAACGTGATAAAATGCAGTTTAACCGCTCGCCAAGTACACATGTCTTCTGATAAGAATGCCACTGCTGAGCTGCAAAAACAAAGGCCAAGAACAGAAAGCAAAGCCAATTGGAGTCGTAATCTCTTTCCAGTTGGAACAGTTCGCTGAACTCTTTCTTATTTCTTTCTCTCCATCTTTCTCTCTGATATTTCTATCACACACATACACACACTTGCGTGACTCGTCCTTGCTGCATTTGTATGTGTATTGGTGGGCGCTTTGAGTCATCGTTATCGCCCCACATTCGGGTGATTAACTTTTTCTTGCTCGGCTATCGCTTGAGAAATCGGCCGGCTAAAGTAAATAAAAGCAACGGTCAACAAAGAGATATTACGTTTCGTTTCCAACGAAAATGAATTATTTATTAAGGCGCAACACAGTGTCAACAAAAGCAAACAATGAAGCACAACAAAAGATCGGCTATCGGAGAGTTTGCTTGGCTTCCTCTTACTCACCGATAACATCGATATCCTCTTCCGGTTTGGATCTAATTGGAATGCTTTAATGGGGGAATCGGGTTGGGTTTAGAAAAGTTGTAGTTCTTCTAAATTCCTTGAATTTTTAATTACAAAATATCAAAACTTGCTAAGTATAAAAATGCTATTTTTTTAAATCAAGAAATAGAATAAGAATTCTTGTGAAAACCAGTTTTTCCCAGTTTATTTTGTAGAAACTGTTATCTAAACACAAATTTATATATTTTAATGGTTGGTTTACTAGGTTCTTTAAGGTACTATCGATATAGTATCAATATTGTATCTTAAATAAGATAAGGCTTTGTTATCTAATGGAAAAACTACTATCTTAATTCCTAAGCTAAATAAAGATCTTAACTAATGATCGATTGGCTATTATGTGACTGAGAAAACGAACCAAAAAAATATATTTTTTAGTTATTATTATTTTACAACATAATAATAATAATAATCCTTGATTTTAGATGGCCGCCCCAGCACCAGCACTCAAGGATCTGCCCAAGGTGGCCGAGAACCTGAAGAGCCAATTGGAGGGCTTCAACCAGGACAAACTGAAGAACGCCAGCACCCAGGAGAAGATCATTCTTCCCACCGCCGAAGGTGAGTTGGTTGTCGGTCGGATGCCAGAGACCCTCGAAAATTAAACCCAATATTTCCCTAACCCAGATGTGGCCACCGAGAAGACCCAACAGTCGATCTTCGAGGGCATCACCGCTTTCAATCAGAACAACTTGAAGCACACGGAGACCAACGAGAAGAACCCGTTGCCCGATAAGGAAGGTGCGTTGTAGGCCATCTAGTATCTGGTATATGGCCATAAAAGCCAAAGACTGGCTGCCTTAGTTGGCCTGGCTCTATAATTGTGCTGCTATTTCTCAACTACCCAACTTATTCTCTGTCCAAACTCAAATTGCAGCCATCGAGCAGGAGAAGGAGAAGAATCAGTTCATCGCCGGCATCGAGAACTTTGATGCGAAAAAGTTGAAGCACACCGAGACCCACGAGAAGAACGTGCTGCCCACCAAGGAGGTGATCGAGGCCGAGAAGCAGGCTTAAATCCGATCCGAGATCGTCTCTAATTTTCGTCTCGCCGCATCTCACTCTTTATGATACGTATAAAAAGCTATTCCCTCTCTCATTTCTCCACTGCTACCGAGTAATTCGAACCGCTGCGCATGCGCGTGGTTGCAAGAAAGTATTTTACCACTATCATATTCCGATTGTTTTCCTTTTTTTTGCCTTATATTTTTTTTAATATGTATACTTTTTTTTGTATTAACAAGCAAGAGAGCCAGTCTCATTCCTACAGCGTAATTAACATAAAATAAACATTCGTCTATCCCGTATATTTGTGCATAAATGTTTCCAAAACACGCGACACTCAAACACACATCATTATCATCTCGAAAGGAATGGAAAGAACGCAGATACAAAGCAATACGACAGCCAACTAAAAAAACACTCAAAAACACTTACACAAAACTAAGCAAAAAAGAAAAGACAGCAAATATATGAGAAATACTTTTTTAAAAAGACACGAAACACACGTATGAAGCGTATAAAACAGAAAAACAAAAGGAACTACGGTAGAGAAGCATCTATATAAAGAGTATGTGTAATTTTTTAATGAACTTTTTTTTATATACTTTACATACGATATATTTATACTGGGAAAAAATAAAAGAAAAACCATAAATGTAACATTTTATAACAAAAACGTACTAAAACGGAAAAGCGACTTTTTGTTTGGTTGGGAAATGAAAATATATACTTTTGATTCGTAGTATTTATACAATTGGTCCGCTTAAATGCTAGTTTCCAGAGCTGCTTTACTAGCTTTTCGTGGCCACCTCTTCGGTGTCCATGGGCGTGGTTGCTGCTCCTTCGCCCGAGGATTCAGATTCACCTTCAGCTTCACCTTCGACTTCAGCATCCTTTCCAGCTTCTGCAGCTGCCGCGGCGGCCGCCACTCGCGCCTCCTCGTACTTGTTGGTCTCGAACTTGCTGAGATCGGCGCCCAGCAGCCGCAGGATGTGGATGGTCTCGTCCTTGTGGACGTAGGCGCGCAGGCTGGAGGTGCCGCGCCAGCCCACCGTGTACAGGGTGAACCGCTCGTCCACGTACTTGAGGATGCAGCTGCCCACGCCTGAAACAACGAAATTATCCATTAGATTTCGCCATTATTTGTGACACCTTTTAAGGGGGAAGATACATATAGAACTGTGATTTTTTTAACCAATAAGGAATTGCGCTGGGATTTCTTATATAATTTAAACCAATTTTTATTTTGTTTATATCCTTCAAAATGGCAGCCGTGGGAATTTTTTTGTCAGGCTATATTAAGATCCGATTTTTATGAACCAAGTTTATTTTGTTAAGAAATATTGTAGAAACTGTCTGAACCTAACTGACATGGAATATCTCAAAAACTATGCTTGTGGCACTATTTCAAAGTCAAAAATCTATTTTTTTTCATAATTTGTTTGCTGTTTTTGGCTAACAAACATACTTCAACGTACAAATTTCTACATTAAGTAGGTTCAGGCAGTGGGCAATTTTATTACAAACATCTCTGTAAAAGCAGCATGATGATGTTTAAAAAAATGTATATATAAAATTTATATATAAAATTATTTTTTAAACTTTTTTTTTTCAAATCAAAATCAAAAATAATCATTATTTTTTGATCTATATTTGTTTTGCTCACAATAATAATCATTATTCTTTGAGCGCTTGAAAAAAACTCAACAAATAATTATTAAATTGGAGTAAAATTTATAAAAATCAAGAAGTAAAAAATCATTGCGGATATAGATAGAGCATACAAATAGTAGTCGATTGGTATAATTTGTTTGTTTATACGGCTTCTCCAAGTGGATGATTTTTTGCTTGAAAAATACTTCGATAATCATTATTTCGGTCCCTGATTTAAAGTAATGAAATATATCTACTGCATAAGAAAGGTGCCGTCATCGTGGTATAAGTTGCAAAATATTTCGAATTTCTTCGTGAAACTATCATGACACATTCCTAAAGAGTTACGCTACCAATTTAAGTAACAAAAAAAATTAATTTTTATTTCTTTAAGAGCGACTCACCCAGTTCCTTGCAGCGCTCCTGGGTCTCCTTCCGCAGCTCGTGCGTCGACGGCGGCTGCGTGGGATCGGTGCAGTTGAGCATCATCACCAGATCCTCGCGCTCCACTTGAATGCGCCTGCTGGCGCCCATGAACGCATTCGAGGTCTGCAGGCCCTCCTGGGCCAAGCGGAATGGGTGCACCGTGTGCCGATTCTCGCAGCGCACGAAGGTCTTGACGCCCGTGTTGATCATCTTGATGTTGTGCTCGTTGTTGACCACCAGATCGCGTATGCGGTCGGAGCAGTAGTAGATGTTCTTTTTCTTGTCGGTAACGCAACGCGTCAGCAGGCAGCGCTGGCTGAGGGACTCGTCCAGCTGGTAGAACTCCTTGATGGCCGCGTAGTCGGCATCGTTCTCGCCGAAGAACACATAGGGATCCTCCTTGTAGCCGTGCAGGCGTCGCTTCTTCCGCTGCGGTCCCCACGGCACCGATTTCTCTTCAATGGGCTTGCCCTCCGCATCCAGTTGGGGTTCTTTGACCTGCTCGTTCTGCTCCACCACGGCGGCCACGTCGTTCTTCTCGAAATCCAGCCGACGACGCTTCTCCAGGACGGCCACAAAGAAGCCGCCGCTGTCCTGGAGATGCGGCAACACGCGCAGGCACTTCTCCAGGCCTATTTTCTTCATCTCCTCTTCGGGCAAAGGGAACATGCCGGGTCGTATGATGGTGTGCAGGCTCTCGGGCACCTCGTCGAAGCTGGTGAAGATCTGGTCCACCTCCTTGGTGGCCAGCTTCCACTGCGTCATCCCCGGTTTGTACTTAAGACCCGGCACTAAATGTCCGGCATCCACCAGCTCCAGTGCTCCGTCGGCCTCCTTGAGGATGCGCTGCAGCACCGCCTCGTTCTCGATGGGATTAAGCGAGCAGGTGGAGTAAACCAGGCGACCGCCCACCTCGAGCATCTCGGCGCCACGCCTCACAATCCTGTACTGAATGCCATGCAGGTTGTAGGCCTGCGCCAGGTTCCACTTGAGCCAGATGTCGGGATTCTTGCGCAGCGTGCCATCACCGGAGCAGGGAACATCGCAGAGGATCTTGTCAAACTTGAGGATGCCGCGCGAGCCATCCGACTGGGTGACCAGCAAGTTAGGAAAAGCGCTGCTGTCGTGGTTCGTGACCAGCAGGCAGGGCGAGTTAAGGCGCTTGGCCTGGTGGACGAGCATGTAGCACCTATTGTTGTCCACATCGTTGGCCAGCACGAAGCCGGGCGGTATCTTGTGCTCCTCGGGCGCCGCATGCAGGGCCTCTATGAGCTGCGCCGTCTTGCTGCCCGGAGCGGCGCACATGTCGAGCACTTTGTCCGTGGGTCGGACATCCAAAACGATGGGCGGAATCATGGAGACGGCCTCCTGCCGGCTAATACCACCAGCCGTTGTCTCGACGATGAGGAAATTGTGCAGCCTGTAGAGCGGCTCCGAGCGGCGGATGTCCTTGCGGGTGAGATGCAGCTGGTAGGCCAGGCCATTGGGATACCAGGGCAGGCACAGCGGACGCTCCACCTCCTCGGGCCGCTTCTCGTGCAGCTCGGCCACCGCGCGCACATATTCTGTAAAGAGTTGGGTTTCAATGATGGAGAGCAGGGCCTTCGCTTCGTCCTTGAAGCCCGTCACCCGGAAAGTGGTGGGCAGGTTGTCCCTGATGGAGGCGAGGAACTGCGTCCACTCATCCTCGTCTGCGCAGATTGCCTGCAAATGGTAGTACTTGATGAAGGCGGCGTTGTCCCGCTTGATCTCCTCGTACGGCAGGGCGCGGCGATCGGGGCGCTCGGGAGCCTGGAAAATGGGAAAAGCGGAAAATAGAAAATGTAGCTAATGTAGGGAAAACTTGATCAGAAAACGTGGAGTTTACTTACGTTCTCCCGCTTTTGCCGCTTGCGCGCCGCAAAGGGATTCTGCTTCTTGTTTCGTCCCATTTATCAAGATTTAGCTAAAACTTATTTATTATCTTTATTAAGTTAAGAAATACGGAAAAGCTACGTTTATTTATTTTCCAACGAAACGAATAAATAAAACGTGTTCGCCGGCTGACTGGCAACACTGGCCGTCGAGCGTTGCCAGACTGCGACGGCTTGGTAAATAAATGAAAGTTATTTTAAACCCGTTTATTATAACACTCTGCTTTTAAAGCTTAATTCATATTTTAGGGTGTCGAATTAAATGCAATTTATTAATTTAATTTCCCTGCTATAATGCCACCCGCACTTCCAACCGAGTACAAAATTTGGCGCCAAAACTGTATGTCACAACTATCGATATAAGAAAAGCCAGTTTTGGCGGGAAAGTAGATATTTAGCTAAAATAGCTAAAATTATTATAAAAGGGGGATTCCCTAAACTGTTGAATTGCTGAATTGTTGAAAATTCAACAAAAAATTTCAGCAATTAAGGGAACGACCCAAAATGGTTCCTGTTGAATTTTCAAACAGCTGTTATTTGTTGAAAAATTTCACGGAACTTAAAGCATGTAAAATTTGATTTATTATTGCTAGTTACTCTCTAAAAGTGTTACTAAGGTAAAAAGAACCACAAATATGCTTTCTAAGTTGATTTTAAAATAAATAATGCGTACTGGTGATACTAAAATGTTACAGAGTTGCCACGACTTTTAAAAAAAGGTGACAACTCTGGCTTTTCAGCAATTCAACAAAATTTTCAGCAGCCCCGAGGCTGATGAATTGCTGAAATTTCTGAAAGTTGACTTTGTATGGAACAGCTGATTAACAGCTGACCAAAATTCAACAATTCAGCAATTCAACAGTTTAGGGAATCCCCCTAAAATAAACCCGTTGGCAATAATTAAACCACTTTGCTTTTAAGCTTTAATTTATATTTTAAGAAGTCAAATAGAATGCTATTTATTGATTTAAATTCCCAGCTATAATTCCACACGCTCGGATGAAGTACAAAAATTGGCGCTAAAACTATATTCACAACTACCAATATAAGAACGGTCAGATTTGGCGGAAAAGTAGCTACTATTATCAGTATTAATAATTATCAACTAAAATAGCTAAAATTATTATAATATAATTTATTGGCATTAAAATTAAGCCCTTTAAGCCTTAATTTATGTTTTAAGCAGTCGAATTGAATGCAATTTATTAATTTAATTTCCCTGCAATGATTCCAACCGCACTTCCACTTGAGTACAAAATTTTGCGCCAAAACTTAGCGGGAAAGTAGCTATTTAGCTATCGTATTAATTATCAACTATCGACTGATACCGATAGCAAGCCACTGCAATCGAAGCTTAAATTTGGCTCTTCCTTTTTAAATTCCCCTTAATTTAAAATAATTTAAACTTAAATCAAGATGGACACACACACACCGCCGACGCCCAGCTCGTGCACCCCGCCCAGATCGACGCCCGAGGGCATGGACGACATCCAGTACCTGCTGCACCTGGAGGCGATGCGTCGTTTCCAAGAGGACGCCCGCAATGTTAAACGCCAGGTGGAGGAGCAAGTGCGCTCCTGGCTGGACGCCAAGTGCGAGTACCAGCGGGAGTTCGGCCGTCTGGCGAGGCTGCTCAAGTGCGGCGCCCTGCAGACGACCGTGGATGCCCAGCGCTGCCCCGATGTGCAGCAAATTGCCCAGGCGTCCAAGGATATCGAGAGTCTGCGCAGCAAACTGAGCAGTGATCTGCGATCCGCCAGCCTGGACTCCCGGGATCTTGAGCAGTGCCTGGAGCAGCTGAACACCGCCCACAAGCCACGCCCCAATCTCCGCCGGCAGCAGCGGGAGTTCGCCCAGAACCAGGAGGCCTTCAACGCACTGCGAACTGCCGTCGATGCGGCCGAAAACGGCATGGAAATGGGCATGATGCAGGTCATGGATCGCCTGGTGGCCGACCTACGCCCCCCGAGGGACAACTAACCCGTCTGTCGTCTCAAAAGTGTATATATATTTGTAGAATATAAAATAATTGATAACATTAAGAACGGAGAATTGCGAATGAGGAGTCCAAGCGATGAGGTGTTAATCTGTAAAGCATTAAAATGATGTATTATGATAGGCAGAAGCGGAGTAATTACCATTTGGAGCGCTTGGACCAGTCTTTGGGCGTCCAGTGGAGGCACTTGGAGTCGATGCGAATCTTGCGCTTGTCCATCGCCCGCCGGTGCTGCTCGATGGTGTCCCGATTGATGCACACGATGTACTGGCCCTTGTAGTAGTTGATTAGGTTCAGGTTCTGTAGCGTGGAGATGACGTCCTCCTTCTTGATGGACGTGCATTCGCAAATGTCGCTGGAAAGAGGAAAATACTGAAGTTAACAAGCCTTAAACAACGAAAAGAGCTAGTTACTTAATCGTTATCGTGGGCTTCTCGCCGTCCGTGCTCGGATTCTGGCTGATGAAGATCTCCAGTATGGTCTGCGCCCAGTAGGAGCGATACGAGAGCAGCCCCAAATCCGAGAGCGGCTTCTCCGGCGAGCCCGTCTTGCCCTCGAACTTGGACAGCTCGTAGCTGAACTCGATGAGCAGCTTGCCGTAGCCCTTGCGCTGATACGGCGGCATGGTGAGGATGCAGGCCACGTTGTAGTCCTCGGTGCTCTCCTTCTCCTTCGAGAAGTAGCCCACAATGTGGAAGCCGCGCGAATCGAACTCGGTCATAACGTAGAACAGAAACGGATCTGTGTCGTAGTAGAGCGTCTTGTGGTCCAGAAAGAGCTTGGCCAGCAGGCACAGGTTCTGCGCATACACCTTGTTCTTGCGCCCGTCGATCTCGAAGAAGGAGATGGTGTGCTTCCGGTAGATCTCATTACCCGGCGGATGCCGCAGATTGCACTTGGACAGGTGCCGCTCCAGGCACTTCCTGCTCTTCCTATACTTCAGGCAGAACTCGCAGATGTAGATGCACGACATTTGGCACAGCTCCTGCGGATATGGCGAGAAGTACCAGGGCTTAATGCGATGCCTGCCCAGCTCGATCATCTCCACGTTCTTCATGCGCGTCACCACGTCGTCCTGGTGCGTCACCATGCTGCCCGATTGCCGCGGCGTCGGCGTCTTCCCATCCTGCGATCCATCGCCATCCTCATTGGCCGGCGTTCCACTGATTAGTCCATCGCCTGTTACATGCACCGGCGTGGCTGTGGGCGTCTGTGGCGTGCTGGGATGTGGCGGATGGGGAGGCGGCGCCTGCTGCTGCGCCTGCAGGCTGTGGTGGCCATGGGCCGACCCACCATGCACCTTTCGCTTGCGATTGATGCGTTTCTGCAGGGCTGCTGCCAGATTGTTGCCATTCACCAGCTCCCCGCCGCTGCTGGGCGTCCCGGGAGGAGGCACCGGGGTGGCAGGAGCAGCGGGAGGCGGAGCACTGCCCGTGGGAGCACTCGGAGTGGAGGGAATGCCCGGCAAGCTGGCGGAACCGGGATGTTGCGGGGATGTGGGGCGGGAGACGCTGCCGGCGAGGGAATGGTGGCGCTGCGGGGTGGTCACCCCGGTGCTGGTGCCCGTCTGGGAGCCATCCCTCCGCGGGAATTGCACCTTTCGCGTGTACAGATCCTCCTCGTTGACCCACTCATCCAATCGCTTGTTGACTGAAAATAGGGAGGAAATTGATTTGAATGGGAAGCTATATTAGGAGCCTCCCCACTCACAGTCCACATAGTGCACGTAGAACTGCCGCCGGCCGTCCAGCTCCTTGATGCTCACAATCTCCGCCAGCGGCCAGTCGTCAGTTTTGTGCATCCTGACGGGCAGACGACATCCCTCGGTGAGGGCGGCCTGGAAACGCAATAAAACTCTAGTCAGTTAACCAAAACAGCACTAGCTATCACCCAACCCACCGTCGACTCGCAAATGGAGGCCACATCGTCGTCAAACTCATATTTGTGGTTAATTTTCATTTGTTTATGTTCCCTGTTTTTTTTTTTTGCGTAAAATAAACAGCCCCGTCTATCGACCTATCGATAGGCTCTACCCATCAGTGACATCAGCGGTTTAAAAATATCGATGACCCGTGCAGTGTTGCGCAGCGTCGCCTTCCTTCCCCCTGGTAGTGCTGCAAAACACAACAACAACTCGTTCTCTTCGGTTCGGAATTTTCATGTGCCTATGCAATTAAACGATTTCGGCCGCTTACAGACAGCTGTAAGATAATAAGAGCAGTTATCAGATAATCGAGCCGTTCGAGGGGCAGTTAATGGACGCAGAACTCGAGTGCGCGGCTGTGTGATACCTTCTTTTCGATTGCCAAAACCCAAAAACCACAAAAAAAACGCCGAGGTCAGAAAAATGTACACAGGCGCATACCTGCGCCCGTGTGTGTGTGCCTGTGCCTGTGTGTGTGTGCGTGTGAGTGCGCAGAAAGTTATACAGCTGTATTCGACTGGCGTATTTATCAATAAATAACTACTGTGATCGCCGGAAAACTCCAATTACTGGGTAATTGTGCTTGCAACTGTGGGCCATATTCGCCCAAATTCCCGAAAGCCAGCGAATTGGCAGGGAAAAAACTGTGGCAAAATGACGTGTTTTGCGCTGGTGTTGCCACTGACAACAGCCGCAGGGCTGCCAACTTGCTGGGGCATTTGTTTTAAACTTGGTTTTGTTATTGCTAATTAGCTGGGATAGGGGTTTCTAAACTGTATTGGTTAATTAGTTAATTGTGGGAAACGCAAGGATTGCCAGGACCTCGCTTAATCGCTTAAGGATAGCCTATCCCTAGCCGGAGTTGACAACCCTGCCGCCTTCTCCAGCGCAGTTGGCAACACTGTGCGGCTTGGCAGGCAAAGCAAAAAAAAAAAAAAAAAGCGGAAAAGAATAGAAGGAAATATGGGGAAAAAACCTGTGCTTTTTAAAGAAATATGAAGCCAGCGGGCCGCAAAGGGGACGCCAAGGCGAGCAGACACACCCACCACCACCCACCGCCCAACCGCCACTTGTCCGCATAACCACAACAACAACAACAAATGCCGCAGAACAGAGTCAGTGGGCCAATATGTCTCATTTGCCATTTCCATTTTGGATTCACCCCCTTTGAAAACCCCCCTCTCAATTTGGAGCCCCGTGCGCACACATTTCCGTATTCCCTTCTGGCCACTAATCAATCCAATTCGCAGGGACCTACGTAAATGCCACGGCCAGAGATTCGAGATTCGCGATTCGAGATTCCCAGTGACGACAGGCCTGTCAAGTGCAGCAGGAGTCCCGAGTGATACGCCATAGGTGGGCCCCCCTGTAACTCACAGTCAGGAATCCGGGAATCCAGGAATCCAGGAATCCAGGCGGCAGAGCACTTGCAGCCGCGGTGGCGACCACACGGCGGCTGGGCAGCTGGGCTTCCTAGGAAAACCGAGGAGAGGCAACAGTTAGTAAGTATATAACTTATATACTATATAGGGAAAACCCTCCTCTCTCTATAAGAAAATCCTCTAAAAATAACTATCTTCACCCAACAGATTCGAGCAATTCGAATGGCATTTGTTTGTTTCCACCAAACGACCAAAAGATGAACAATGAACAAACGCCGTCATCATCGGACACATCGGCGGATCGTGTGGGAGGATCTGGATCTGGATCAGGTTCTTTATCTGGTACTGGATCCGAGTCAGCTATCAAGCTGCCCATTCCGGACACGCCCATCGTCTCGATTGCCGCTGGGACGATGAGCGAGAGCACCACGACGACCACCGCCACCAAGACGACGCCGACGCCGTTCCCGCAGGAGCAGCTCATCACCATGATGTCGGACCATGTGGCGCAACTTGACGAGGCTTCTGTTAGCCAGGAGGCCAAGGGAGCAGTGGCGGCTACCAACCATGTAGCAACCAAGAAGTCATCATCCCCCAGTAATAGCCATAGCCACGCTACTAACCACGCTGCAGCGGCAGAAGCTGGCAAAGATTCAGGAGCAGCAGCAGCAGCAGCAGGAGGGGATACATTCTCGACCGTCTTCGCCATGCTGAACGATACGCAAGGCGAAGAGCTGTCGCGACCAAACCGCAGAGTCCTCCAATACGGGGCCACTGCCAAGGGCAAGACCCAGGACGATCAGAATGTCGGCAAGCGACAGAAGAAGAAAAAGGTGAGTGAAAGAAATATAGAACAATATTAAGCAGAATCGCAGTTAATGATAATAGTTAAAATAATAGAGATCTACCAGTTATTCTGTTAGTTTAGGCAAGATTAATAGAATAAAATAATGTTCAATTGAGGGGTGTTTTATATAAAAATAGAGCTATTATAGAGAGCTATAAATATTATAAAATATACCAAGCATAGGAACAGGTTCCTAAATCAGAATAAGTTTTTAATATTTCATATATTTATTAAAGATGATATTAAAGGTACAGGTTTCTAAATCCAGGATATATTTATAATATTTAATATATTTATTAAAGAAGTTTTTAATTTTTCATATATTTATTAAAGATGATATTAAAGGTACAGGTTTCCAAATAAGGATATATATAATATTTCATATATTTATTAAAGATGATATTAAAGGTACAGGTTTCTAAATCAGGACATAGGGGCTGTCCATATATTACGTAATCACCTAGGGGGGGGGGGGGTCATTGAAATGATTATGTTTGATTACATGGGGAGGGGGGGTCTTGTACAATGATTACGTAATCATTTTATATTAATTTTTTATTTAAAGAATTTATTTAAAAACTTTTTTCCTTTAATTATATCTACAAACCAGGGACCAAAAATAAGTGTTATTGTAAATTTTTCATACAAAAAAATCACGCATTGTAGTTTACAAATCCGTAATGATTTTTATTTTTTGATTTTTATAATAAAACTCAAAAAATAACTGTTATATTTTGATTTTTATGAATAACAGTTATTCCCTTGACATTTTTGAAAAAATGAAATAATTAAAAAAAACATGATTCCCGTGTTTTATATAACTTACTAAAAATTTGTTAAAAAAGGCAACCGTGCATATTTTATACCTATATTTTTTTTTAAATTTATTTTACCCACAAAATCGCCATAAATCAAGTTTGAGTTTTATTTTTGATCACGACGAATAACTGTTATTTGCCAACTTTTATAATAAAAATCAAAAAATAACAGTTATTCCTAAAGTTTTAATTTACAAATCAGAAAATAACTGTTAAAGTGTGATTTTTAAAATAAAACTTATAACAGTTACGGTCCCTGCTACAAACTTAAATAGGAAAGCAGAGACAAAATTTTTGTAGGGGCTGGGCGGCGAAAAAAAGAATGTTTAGTGGTTCGATCACACGAAGGACGCGAAGACCTGGAATGGCTTGACGAAGAGTATGTTGGGGATAATATCAGCGTAGACGAACCGAATGTGTCATACCAAACTTCATTTATAAACAATATTAAAGATTGGGTTGCATCTCCGTTTAAATCCACAGATTAAAACAAAAAAAATTTTATTCTGGGGATTACGTAATCATTGGGGGGGGAGTTGTTTATTGAATGATTACGTTTGATCACCTGGGGGGGGAGGGGGTCAAAAATCACCAAAAACGTGATTACGTAATATATGGACAGCCCCATACGTATTTATAATATTTTTTATATTTATTAAAAAGCATTTTAAAGTTTACAAAACTTAGACTCACATAGAGAGTTGCGATTTATTTTACTGATTTAATATTCCACTAAAAAAATATTAATTTAAATTGAGTAAACTATCTTGATCAGTCCGATTCCTACGTCACAACGCTTTGGTTTAAAAATGTTCAATTACATATCGATATAATTGAATAAACATTCTATAAATATCGTCTTTTTTCTTTGCAAAAATAGTTCCCACACACACACACATACTAGCACATTTGCACACTCATTCACTTAAACCATAAACTATAAACTAAAATAAATAAATGTCTGTTGCTTGTAGATGATAAATTTTGTTTGCAATTAACTTGCGAAAAAAGAAAACAAAATAATATGAATGGGCTGCAGGCGATTTATATGGTTCACATGGAAATTTATCATATCATATAGCCTCAAAATGTATTTTAAATTTTACTTGAAACTTGGTTTTAGATTAGGATTTAAAAAATAATGGTAGAACCTTTGTAAACATTTCTTATAAATTATATACTTTCAAACCAAAATTGATCTGTAGTAAAAATGTATCAGATCGCAATCGTCCGGGTTTTTATCAGCAATGACTAAATTATTTTGTAAACTAAATTCTTTCGCACCCCCCTAATATAAGTTTTAATTTAAATTGAGTTTTGGAAGCAGTAACGAAGATAATAGCAAAAAGATTAAAAAGAGATGGTTTAAAAGTTAGTACCTGATGTCATCTCGCTCTGGCCAAAGATATTGTTGGGTTCTCAAAAAGGTACCGTTACCTTTGGCCAGATCAAGGGTTTCACACATGCGCAATTGCTCTTATACCATTGCAAATCGAAGAAACGAAAGACAAACGAAGGAAATTGAAATTGAGAACAGAGTTCATTGGAATTTCTGCAGATTGCAGTTGGATTTTTTTTGAGCAGCGATTACGATTGCTATTCCAAATTCCAAAACCGAATCGGAGAGGCAGGAGAACCGCATAAAACCACAAAGAGCGACTTTATCTAGCAACAACATTGGCCAAAAGCCGCCGCATTAACCGCACAAGTTCCTCGTTTTTCCCCATTATTATTACAATTCTTTTTTATTTTTTTTTTTTCGTGTGCAACACCATAGTTTATTTATTTGAACCGTGCGCTATCTGATACTCCCATAACTCCGCGCTCGGTACTCAAACAGTTTGCTTGGGGAACTTGGAAGGGCATGTGTTTGGAATAAGTAGAGCTCTCTTCTGTTTTTCCATTTTCTCGCTTTAAGGTTAGGTCCGAACGATTGTTTATGTGTGTGCGTGTTGGCTGGAACCAGAAACCTGAACAGAAATCGTTAAAACTAAGAAAATACTTTTTACTCGTTTGCAGACAAAATACGATACCTGGGAAGATAGCGATTTTAATGATCTCGACGACGCATCATTGAAGAAACTTCTCGAGGAGGCATATTGGTATCGAAATCCTGGCGACAGGAAGAACAAGAGCGAGCGATTTCTGGTAAGTTTTGGGTCTACATAGAGTTATCTTATTATTATTTAAGTTTATACTTTTTCAAAACCTGGTAACATATTGTTATGAAGGAATATTTCTTTCTAGATCTTATAGATGTAAAATATTGTTATGAAGGAGTATTTATTTCAAGATCTTATAGATGTACAATATTGTTATGAAGGCATATTTCTTTCAAGATTTTATAAATGTAGATATAAAACTATATATTTAAGTTGTGCAGCCTTTTTTCATTTTAGGTAAATATCCAATTCTTTTAAAAAGATATTTTACAAGATTATCTTGTAATAAATATGAAAAGTATTTAGAAAAATATTTAAATATTCCAAATTCAAGCGATTTTTAAGATCTTTTCCTCCAAGTTTTTATCGATGTACGTTAAAATTTGGAAGGGAGAGATTTTTGTTGAGAAACCCCCGCTTTTGCTCATCAGTCTTATACAAGCTTTTTAATTCTCCACCCCCTTTTTCCCCCCCAGCAAATGCTCAAAAAGGCTGAGTACGACGAGGAGATCTCTTATCGTGCCATCAAATCCTGCCTCACACTCAACCCATCCGCACTAGCGTCCAGTGCAGCAGCGGCGGCAGCAGGCTCGAGCGGCGGGGGCAGCAGCAGTGCAGGGCACAACAGCGGCTACAGCTCCACCTCCACCTCCACCAATCACCGGTCGACGGATCCCGGCCAGCAGCGGCACAAGCAGGGCGGCTCCCTGCAGGATCTCGTCGAGGCGGCGCACCGCAGTGAGCTGGCCACCACCTCGGCGGCGGCGGCTGCAGCGACGGCGGCGGCAAGCCAACGTTTCAACTGTGATTACCAGCTGAGTGGCCGCTCCAATCGCCGCCAGCAGCAGCAGCAGCAGCAGCACAACCAAAACGCCACCTCCTCCGCAACTGCATCCGCATCTAAGAAGATCAAGAACTCATCCGTCTCGGGCCGGCAGCGCGAAGGAGGCAGCCTGCCCAGCAGCGTTAACTTTGAGCCGGCAGCTGCCATGGATGCCAAGCAGCAGCAGAAGCAGCAGCAGCAGGAGGGATCCGGATCATCGGCAGCAGGTGGCAGCAAGAACCACAGCTGCAGCAGCCTGCCCAGCCATCTGGGCGATCGGGATCCCGAGGCGGGCATCCAGTTCGACATGGACGAGGACGAGGCGACGGGCGGCGTCGCCATTAGCGGCGTCCCACACGACTACCTGTTGGAGGTAAGCGATGATACGCTCAAGAGGTGGGACCTCCGAATGGACGGCAGTCTCTGGGAGATAGCAAGGGCCCTCGTTAAAGCAGATTTAAGCGATAAGGCGGTAAGATAGAAGGAGAGAGAGGCGCGTTACTACTGGGTTTCTTAGTGGATAGTCCTAATCCGTAAAAAAGCAATGTGTGTGCCCTCAATGTCGCATTAATCACTCTCATAAACATATATTCCATCATTATATTCAAGTACCTGAGTGTTTGTCCCTAAAACCGATCGAAAGTACTTAGTTTTAACTCTGAGTCGAGGGATATTTGTTTGGAAAACGTAGCTGTAGATTAAATTAAATGCTTAAAAACTTATTTAACCCTTTATTTTCCCCTCGCAGCAATTGGAGCCCCAGAATCCCTCGATGACGTTCCTGCTCGACGCCCTCAGTGGCCAGCAGCCCAAGCAGCCGAAGCAGCCGGCGGAGGCCCGGGAAGGCGGTGCCGCCAAAGAGTTCCTAATCGACGACCCGCTGCACTTCTCCGTCCTGGAGGTTTCGGCCAGGAGCCAGCTGCAGCAGCAGGCCCACTATCTGGCCGCCCTAACCGGGCAATTCGGTCTCGGGCTGGAGGAGCAGAAGCGCAAGGTGGAGGCCGGCTATGTGTCGCTCAACGACAACTACACGGCCTGCTCCTCGGTTTACGGCGGCGGCGCTGGTTCGCCAGCTGCCATCGAGGGCAGCAAGCCCTCGACTTCCTCCGCGACCTCTTCCGGCGGCAGCAACTGCGGCGGCGGCGCCTCCTCCTCCTCCGACGCGCTCTCCGGCGAGCTGCGTCCCGCGAAGATTGGACGCATGGTCGCTGGAGCAGCGTCGACGGCAGCTGCGTCGATGGGTGGCAAGGCCACAACGGTGAGTGGAGTTACTTTGTTGCAGGGTTCGGAAAATAACACACTCTGTTAAAAAATTGTAGCTTACATATGTTAGAAACATAAATAACACACACAGTTGATTTGTGTTATTAACACGACGTGTTTTTTACACAACGTGTTTTTAACACAATGAGTTCTTGACATAAAAACGTCAGAAATATATATTTTGAACTAAAAAATTCACGGTTTTCTGTAGTTGAAAAAATTAAAAATAACAATTAAGATATCCTGGCCCAATATTGATTCTTAATTTTTCCTTCGATTCGTTAATGTCCATAAAATGTAATTTTCATTTGTGTTAAAAGCACAGTGTGTAAAATACTCGTCGTGTTAATAACACATTGTGTAAAAAACACAAAAATTATTTTTCACATTTTACCACTTTTGTTTTTGACACACATGTCAAAAGCTTTGCTCACACTGTAAAATACAATTTTACATGTTAAAAACATGTGTTAAATTTCGAACCCTGCTTTGTTATTATTATAGTCATTTTATAACCCAAACCCTTCTTTCACCTCAGCGCCAGCTGGACGAGAATGGCAATGCCTTGAGCGATGGCTTTGGAGGAGCCACTGGAGTGGCCACCAGCAGCAATGGAAACCAGTTCACGGCCTTGATAACCACCACAGTGGGCGGCAGTGCCACCACCTCCTCCTCGTCGGCCGCCCACCGTCAGAATAGCGTGTCCACGCTGCTCTCCACGGGCACGAACACCACCACCACGGCCATGGCAGCCGCAGCGGTGGCTGCATCCTACAGCCAGCTGCAACAGGCGCCCAGCGGTGGAGCTGTTGCTGCCGGGCCGGGAATAGGCATTGGCATCCAGCAGAATCCCACCAAGCAGAAGGCCAAGAAGAAGTCGCAGCAGGAGAGGAATACGACCACCGTGGACGTGGAGTCGGTGGCCGGCTATCGGGGCAACGATCCCGTCGAGCAGCTGGTCAAGTACATCGAGAACGATGTGAATGGCGGAGGCGGGAACACTGCAGCGGGGCAGCGCAAGAAGGAGCGCAAGAAGCAGAACAAGCTCAAGAAGAGCAACTCGCTGGAGGAGCTGCGCAGCTGCTCGAAAATGGAGGTGGACGATTTGAAGCGCCAGTCGGCGACCACGGAGATGATGCGTCAGAAGAAGGGCCCAAATAATGCTGGCCCAAGCGGCACTTCCTCCTCCGCCGCCGCCGCCGGTGGCAAGCACAATTCGGCCTCCGTGGCGGACATAAACAAGAATTGCAACAAGGAGCAGCAGCAGGTGCAGGTGCAGGTGCGGAATTCGAGCAGTAATCCGGGCGGAACGCAGCAGCGGAAGGGCGAGCGGCGATCGTGGGGCACCGAGGAGCTGCAGTACCTGGGCGACCGCCAGGAAATGTCTGCAGCCTGGTCGGAACCCGAATCCCTGGCCCAGAAGCCACTCACTTCGCTGCCCGCCTTAACGCGCATGTCCGAGCTGGACGCCCTGAACACTGTGCTCTCCGAAACGGCCGAGTTCCATGTGGTGACCAAGAAGAAGAAACCAAAGAAGCAACGCGCCGTCACCATGGACGATGCGGCGGTGGCGGTGGCGGCGGCGGCCACCACGGGTGGCAATTTGCAGCGCATGCAGCAGATCACCAAGTCGGCCTCCTCGAACATGATGTCCCAGCGGATGCACTACTACACCAGTAGCAACAACAACGGAGGAGGAGCAGGAGTAGCTACCTACAAGCAGCAGCAGGAGCACTACCAGGCGCAGCAGGGCCAGCACCATCATCATCATCATCATCACCACCACCATCATCACCATCATGGCGGCTCGGCGGTTTCCAATCAGGTGGATGGATCGCGTCGCAAGTCCACCTCCTCCATGCCGCCGTCGGAGAAGTCCGACTCCAGTGATCTCGACTCGGTCCACTCGCTGCCCATCCAGACGGGCAAGAAGAAGAGCCTGGGCGGCGGCGGCGGCAACAACAAGCAGCGGGCGGCGCAGGCCGCCAGTCAGCGGCAGGCGAAGCAAAATAATAGCTCACCGGCGCCCATTTCGTATGCGGATATTGCGCGCAACAAGCAGGAGGCTTTGAACCAGGCCGCGGCCAGCGACACGGAACTGGAGCTCAAGGGCAGCAAGTCCAAGTCGCGGCCCGACTTTCCAGAGCTGCCAGCAGGGAATCAGCAGCAGCAGCAACCGATCGTTGTCAGCAATCAAAATACGGCGCCGTCCTCGTCCAGTTCGATTAGCTACTCGCAGAGCCTGAATGCCACGCCCGCCAGCAGCAGCAGCGATGCGGAGTCGCTCAACTCTCCAGAGCTCCAAGTGGTAGCCTGCAGCCTGGCCACGTCCACGAGCAGCTGCGGCAGCGGCAGCAGCAGCAGCAGTTCCAGCGCCAGCACCTCCTCCACAGCCTCCTCCTCCGCCTCGCCGCCCGCGCTGCAGAAGTCGAAGAGCGTGGAGCACGACGCCAGCTACAGCTGCACAAGCAGCAACCTGGACCAGCAGTATCCGGCGCTGGAGAAGACCGTCAAGCGGCACAGCACCAACAATGTGTCCGTGGCCGTCGCCTCCTCCTCGGCTTCGCTGTACAACTTTGCAGCGGCAGCCAAGCAGCAGCTGGCGGAGAAAGCCGCTGCAGCAACAACTACTACCTCAACTGCAGTTTCAGTTCCAGCTGCTCCTGGTTCGTCCTCGACTCCCTCGCCTGCTGTCAAGTTGAAGGCCAAGCCAAAGGAGCTGTCTCCCAGCAGCAGCAGCAGCAGCAAGAAGCCTCCTAAAGAGGAGGCGACGTCGTCTTCGTCCAAGGCGACCATTAGCACCAGCACCACGACCACGACCACGCAAAAGACCACGGCTGCCACGCAGACCGAGGGAGCCAAGAAGCTCAGCAGCAGTAGCTGCATTGCCAAGGGAGCCGGTGCCGTTTTGGAGGCCACCGCCGGCAGGAGGGCGGTGATTATACTCAACGATGATCGCGAGGCGGGCAGGAGCAACAACGAGTTCATTTTCGGGGACTTTAACGAGGATGAGCTGAAGCTGTTCGACGATAATTTAGAGGATGAAGTGCAGGCCGCGAATAAGCAGCAGCAAACGGAGGCGGAAGATGAGGCGGAAGATGCAGATCAAACAGAAGTGGAGAGCCGGGAAAAGGAATCGCAGCAGCTGAATGATTCGGGGGCCGCTTCAGATGCAGTCAACAGCTCGGCCAGCCTGGATATGCTCTCGATTTCGGCGGAGACGGGACAATCGTCGCCGAGCGCCGCCAGTCTGATTAACTCGTCCACGCCCTCGGGCTCTTCGTCCGCGTCGGCCAGCACCTCCACCTCGTCGTCCTCGATTTCGTCCTCCTCCTCCTCGGGCAGCAACGGCAACGGCGCCGCCTGTCTGGCCTCCATTTCGGGCATGCTCGGCCAATCAGTGGCCAATCAGTCGGGGGATAGCGGCATCTATGCCGCAGCCAATACGTCCATCAAGGAGCAGGTCAACAATTTCCTCAGCAAGGCGAGCAGCAGCGAGGAGACGCTGCCGAGCACCAACTCGATTTCGATGCAGCAACTGGAGACGTGCAACGACATTGAGGCGGCCATCATAGCCGCCGCCCGTGCGGCAGCCGCTGCCCGGAGCACCAGCTGCAGTCGCAGCAACTCGCAGGAGCAGGAGCAGCAGGCCAAGACAATTAGGTCGAATTCAAATACAAATTCAAATCCCAATCCCAATCCGGAGACGAAAGTAGCCCTGCCCGTGTTTATGAACTACAACGACGACGACGAAGAGGACGACGAGAGCTTGCAGGAACTGAGCTTCATGGCGGACCTTAAGGATGCTGCGGCCACGACGTCCGCGGAGGCGGAGGCTCAGGAGGTTACTGTGCTGCCGCCGCCGCCGCCCTCGCGACCGGCGATGATGACCAACACGGAACTGATTGTCGACTACATCGCCAACAGTGAGAGCAACTGAAATATTTAGGAATTCATTTAGATTTGCATAACTAACACGTTTTTCTTTTACTTTTTCAGCCTGGAATGCCATTGCCAATAGCAAGTATGTCACATACTACAACGAGCGGGAGCAGGAGACCTAGAAATCAGATCAGCAACAGCAGCAGCAGCAGCAACAGCAACACCAATCGCAATAGCAACGTCAGCAATATCGGCAGCTGAGAACAGGAGAGAGGAGTTTAGTTCGAATTGCATGTTCCGATGTTTATATTTCACTTTTTTTTTTTTTACTTTGTGCTGGGCCATCGTTTATACATCTACCGATATCGTACATACACTATAAATAATTGCTATAACAATACGCTTTTATGCTAATTAATGTAACGAATCAATGGATTCGAGCGCGGCAGCGGAGGATCAGGATTGTCAGGATTGCAGGATTGTCAGGATTGTCAGGGTGTGTCTGTGTTTCCAGTATGAATGCGAGCGAGTGCCTGAGATTAGGAGTATAGGATCTATTTAGATGCAGGTCGATAATCGCCAGGAGAAGATCGAACACGAACCCTCAAACCGTTCGTACAGCTGTGAATAAGAAGGGAAACATTACTAGGAAAGAGGAAATTAGAAGAGAAAGTAATCAGAAGATCAGAGGATCGAAAACAAGCTACAAGTGGATATTTATTTAACGTTAGTTGACCGCGATTTAACGATGCGATGCATAGTGATGTTCAATCAAGCATTTGGATCTGCTTTTGTTAATTTACAACCTTCTGGCTCCTTAAAACGCAACGTTTTACCATTACTATTACTATTACTGTACTTTAATTATTATTACTACTATTACGCAAGCGTTTTTTTTTGTCTTTGTTTTTTAAACGCCCCACGAGATCATCGGAGGGCGTGCTATATTGCAAAAGCAGAAATTAAAACTAATCCTAGTTCTTAGACAGAGTCAACGTCGCGTGTACATATATATATGAGACCAGAAGTTTAGGAGGCAGTTCGACCATTGAGTTTATGTGTTAGAGAGAGGAAAGAAAGAAAGAAAGAAAGCCCCACGGAAAATATTTGATATGTGTGTGTATGATAACGACTATTTAAAGTAAACTATGTAAGGCCCGCTCCTTAGCTCCGGCTAGCCATAAATAAGCCTCATGAGGAAAGTATGTTAGACAGCATAACCGCAAAACAGAAAACAGAAAACCACAAAAAACCAGCAAAAACACTAAAAACTATTATGCACTTACGAAAAATGCCGCCGTTTAGCAGGGAGAGCCTCAGAAGGTCTCTCCGAAGGGTAAAAAATAAAAGAAGGATAGTAGATATCGTAACCATTAAAACAGAAAATCGTAAAAAAACCATACAAAAAAATAACAAAAAAAAAGTTGAAGAGCAAATGATTTTGGAGACGGAGAAACAAAATAAACGTTAAGTGAACTCGTAGCATAAAAAGCGCAACTAAATTGCTATATCTAGGAATATACATTATATACGCGCATCTATTAACGTAACCTTTTTTTTGATAATGCAAAACGTTAACCGTTTAAAATCGAGTAATTAAGAGCAGGTAAACAGTTTAGTGTGAACAAAGTGTCAGAATAAAAATTAGAGAAACAATACAGAAGTGAAATTATCTAGCGAGCGAATCGAGGAAACCTATTTAAAGCTAATCATTAAAGAACCCGATCTGGAACGCCTACTCTTTAAGACCGAATAAACAGAACAAACAGTGCGAAATGTTTTCAAATCTATGTGAAACTGTTTTGCTTCAATTGGAATTTTATGTGCTGTATATTTTGAGAATAAACGTAAAGTAAAATACCGATAAAAAAAAGCGAAGACAAGTATTCAATATCAATTTACCCCGAGTCCTGTACCCTTAACCCCCGAAAGCCCCGCACGCAACACTCGGCCAGAGCTGTTGCTGTACCGCTCTAAACCATGTAAACCGTATAAACCATAGGAAACAGAATCAAAAACTAAAGCCAGAGAAATTTTAACTAAGTTGCAGGGAGGACGATATATGGAATATATGAAATATATATGTATTTGTACCACACGCATTAAGGAGAGTCTAAGAGAAACACACTAGTTTACCAATTTGGCCCTTTTGGCGATGAACTTATATTTTCAAATTAACAAGAAGTTGTTGAGATCAAGCGAATGATCGGTTTAATCAGACGAAAATGTATACTTATATAACTGAAGTGTAATTTTCCAAAATGTTTCTAAACTTTTCAATTATTTGAGATCAATCTATCTACCTTTGTATAAATTATCTGCTGGTTGGACCTATCGTTCCCGGGATGTCTGTTTAATAACCACTTTCTTTCCGAATATATCAAAAAGATTCTTCAGTTTTGTCTTTCGATATACATTTTCTATTTCTATTTATATTTCGGTAAACTCAAATTAGCCTAAGAAACGTGTTTTTAAAGACGTACATCTTTCGTGTAAACTAGTGTTATATACAACCACTAAGTCAAACTAAGCCAATGTACACTGCAACAATTTTAGACAATTGAGAACTAACGAGAATCAAGAAACACAAGAAACCGAGAATATGGAAAACAAAATTTAAAATAAATTATACGCTAGGCCAGTAAATAAAACTAATACTGAAATATTATAAATTACATATAAACAAAAGGAAAAACACAAAAAAAAAAAGTTTCTTATGTGTGTATTTATGTAAAATATATATTGTAGCTGTGTGTATGTGTATATAATTAGTAAATTGTGACTCGAAAAACAAACAAAACATAGAAAGCAGAGAGGCATATGAAGGAGAAGGATCAGGATTATCGGATTATCCCCGCTATAAAGCTATATAGTTAACCCCCATTTTCGATAATATTCGTAGGACGAGAGTGGCTCGAGCTTGGAGTTTGGAGGCTGCCATTTGGATGTCGGCCAACAGACCAAAACTAGAATTGTTTTAGTTCCGCCTTTTGATTTTGCGTAGCTAGTGTATTGTTCAATTTATCGGTTATCGGACATTGGATATTGGATATCGGAGTAATCGCTCGAGTTGCGTACAGTTCAACCCGCATTATTTCCGTCTTGAGTGCACTTGTTGAGTTTGGAATACAAAATAACAATAATTGGTAACGGAGTGGAGTGGCGAGAATTGGAGCAGCAGAGAGAGCACAGTGGGAACTATAATCATAGATATACATACATATACAAGAATCTACGACTAAGTCTATTGGATAGCAAAAGAAGAACTCTATGAAAAGAAAACACCTATTTGATACTTTAGGCCAGTGTGAATGGATCGAGTTGCAGATCAAGATGTTTATAAGCGTGTGAATGGAGCTAACTCTAAATTCGGCAGAGGTCTAGTACGGGGTCTTAAGTTTTCGATAGGTCGCGGGTTACTTACAAAAAATGTATCAGATTTTCAAAACTTAAGATATTCTATCTCATCTATCATTTTGGGTTATTGTAATTTTATTGGAACCTTTAAACATAAAAATCGCGATTATGGAGTTAATTCCCCGCACTAGACCACTGCCCTAAATTTATATAAATGTATACATACTTCTATATACACATATGTACTCGACTACTACTACTGACGAAGCCTACTAGTAACCCCCGATTCCCAGGATTCCCAAAAACCCCCGAAAATCCCCGAACCCATCCATATACATAACTTATACATACCAATATTTGTACATGCGAAAAACATAAAAAACAAGAAACGTTTTTGAATGGGAAATCGAAATTTAATTTAAAATGTGTTTAAAATATATAATATACTGGAGAGAAGTGTATTTCAGTGGAGAATCGAAATAAAAATTAACAAAAAAGAGAACTTTCGATTTTCCATCTTTTCTTTTTACTACTAATGCACGCTTTGGAATGATTTTGGTGTGGGACTACGGACTATGGACTACGGACTATGGAACTCGGACTACGGATAATGGCTCCAGATGCCCTACAGTTAGTACTCCCGCCTGGGAACTGGCAGGAGGCGACTGGGATTGGCGGGCCCAGTGGGGGGCAGCTGCTTGCGGCGCCTGTTCAGACGGATGAGGGCGTCCACGACGAGATCGATGGCCATGTTGCGGTCGCCGCTGATGAACATGTTGTCCAGGTGATCGCAGAAGGACTCGAAGCGGCGGCGCTGGCGCTCCTTGGGCGGCATCCGCTGGACCTCCTCGTCCTCCTGGTAGTCTGCATCGAACTCGAACTGCTGCTCGTTGAAGACGGACTCCGGTTCCTTCTCGAAGCTCATCACCTTGACCAGCTGGTTGAGCAGCTGGAATTTGTACAGCTTGGCGGGCTTGAACTCCGGGACGCGCAACTGGGGCAGCTTGGAGCGGCTGCTCTTCTGCGTCTGAGCAGTGCGACCTGGACGCACTCCGTTCACCCACTTCCTCATCAGCGACATCTCGTGCAGATGGCGATAGTCGTCGATCAGGGAGCTGCGCTGCAGGCCCACGGAGGCCAGCTCCTCGTCGGTCAGCCGGTCGATCCTGTACAGGCGCGCCAGGGCCTCGTCCTTCAGATGGCAACAGCCGGCGAACTTGAGTTTCCGCGACTTGGGATCGGTGGGATTCGGCTTGGTCTTCTCACCCGGCTGCTGGGCCATTTTCTTCGTATATTCTATGTCTGGGAATTTCAGGGGATCTTGTGGACGGAGCTGGATGTGTGTGTATGCTCGAATCGGGTGACTGCTCATTGGAGATCTAACTCAGAGACGACTCTTTGCTCTGATCCTGGAAAATAAAGGGCAAAACAGGGATTGTAACTAGACGGTGAAATAATATGTGATTTCCATAAATATGTTTCTAAGTATAAAACACATTTTAATAATTCACATTTTCCAGTAATTTATTTAAAGAATTTATACAAATAAGTATATTCAACTAATAAATTACAACGATGGGCTTACAAAAACTTAAAACTTCATTTGACCAAATTTTATACCGGATCTACGAAAAAATCTGATTATATTTGTACAAAAATAATATAAATTTATTCTAAGGCAATTTTTACGACATTTTTAAAATGTTAAATTGTAAAATAGGTTATATAAAACACATATTTATAATTCACATTTATCAGTAATTTAGTTTAAGATTATACAAATAAGTATTTTCAACAAAAACTTCATACTTTATTTGAGCATAATTTATACCTGTACCTGATCTACGAAAAAATCTGATTATATTTGTACAAAAATAACAATAAATTTATTTTAAATTAAGTTATAAAAACGGTTGTAAATTAGTTCATTTAATTAGTCACTAAAATTAAACACCATAAGATTGTAAGGTTTACAATAGTTTTTTTTTTTAAAGTAACGGAATCGGCAAAGCTCAAGTGTGGCCAAACAGCACTAGAGCTTTTAAAACTTGCAGCGCTATTAAGGCAGACTGCTGAGTGGCCACACTAATTGCCCATTTGTTTGTTTTACCGAAATCGAGGTTTTTTAGGAAGTTCAAGAGCCGCAGGATGTCGGAGGTCCGCATTCGGCCGCGCCAGGTCCTCATCCTGATCATCGTCTTCCTGGTGGTGCTGATGATGGTCCACCGTAACGGCAAGCGCACCTGCCAGGGCCCGGAGTACCTGCAGGCCATGTTCGTCCAGGCGGACACGTTACCCACGATCTACGCCGTCACGCCCACATACCCGCGTCCCGCCCAAAAGGCGGAGCTGACCAGGTGGAGTATCCCAACCCTGCCTCCTCCAGAGAAACCCCCAAGTAATAGTATATTTTTCCCATCAGACTATCACACCTTTTCATGCTGATGCCGCACCTGCACTGGATCATTGTGGAGGACACGAATGCCACCACGCCGCTGGTCACGAACCTGCTGGAGCGGGCGGGCCTGGAGAAGCGCTCCACGCAGCTGAACATCAAGACGCCGCCGGAGTTCAAGCTGCAGGGCAAGGACCCCAACTGGATAAAGCCACGCGGCGTGGAGCAGCGCAATCTGGCTTTGGCCTGGCTGAGGAATCACGTGGACGTCGACCGGCACTCGATTGTGTTCTTCATGGACGACGACAACTCCTATTCCACCGAACTGTTCGAGGAGATGGGCAAGATCGAGCGGGGTCGCGTGGGCGTCTGGCCGGTGGGCCTCGTTGGCGGCTTGATGGTGGAGCGGCCGCTGCTCAGCGAGGATGGCAGCAAGGTGACCGGCTTCAATGCCGCCTGGCGACCCGAGAGACCCTTCCCCATCGACATGGCCGCCTTTGCCATCAGCATGGACCTGTTCATCCGCAATCCGCAGGCCCAGTTCTCGTACGAGGTGCAGCGGGGCTACCAGGAGAGCGAGATCCTGCGTCATCTGACCACCAGGGATCAGCTGCAGCCGCTGGCCAACAACTGCCGGGACGTCCTCGTCTGGCACACGCGCACCGAGAAGACCAAGCTGAACGCCGAGGAGGCGCTCCTCAAGAAGGGCCAGAGATCCGACGGCGGCATGGAGGTTTAACCCCCGGGAAACCACTGTATATATGCTGTCATCCTAGTGAATTTATTTAATGTGTTCGTCCCGAGAAACCGTCACTCCTTACAGAGGTTTAGTTTTCCTCATAGCATAGTTTAAAGAAATATCTTTTCAATATCTTATCTTATCTTAACTTTTTCCCCAAAATATTCCTATTTTATGTTACCCTATTACTTTGTAAAAACCCGGTGAAGGCAGCTCAATTATGTTAGGCTAAATACTTTAATTAGTGCAATCTAAACATAGATCTTAATATTCTGAAAGCCACAGATTGCACACGGAAGAAAATGTATTTGAGTGGAGAAGTTAATCAAATATATTGACCAAGCACAAGAGATTAGAAACCAAAGGAGATTTTTGTGACACCCCCGAGTATTAGCGCAAGTTTCAATTACGAAACACTACTAGTTGTACAATGCTCAAATCAAAGTTGTAACGATAGTCCCTAGTCTATCTGCAATGCCCGATATCTGTTGTGGTTTATTATTTTACCTCGAAAGTCATTAAACGAATTGCCGCTTTACATTTTATTTAAACTATAAGTACGCCTTAATTTACCCCACTTAATTGTATATTAATCCACTAGAAATTGTAAAATATCCGCAGAATGTAAGCTTCCCCTGTGTGCCTCCCGTTCAACGCCAATAAAATTGATACCGATAACGATTCACAGACAACAATGGGGCAAAGATAACTCAATTAAATGTTAAACGGTAGAGTTTAATTGATAATACGGTATTGAGAAGTCCGTTGCACATACACAGCTTGCTATATTTAGATATATAAATATCACCGGTTGGGGATTTTATAATTCTCAAGTGCTTATTCCAGTAGAAGATTAAATAAATAGGGCAGAGTTCCAGAATCAAATACACAAAGACGGGACCAGAGACGCTTGCACCAACAAGTGGCTTCGGTCTTTTTGCTATTCTGTATATTTTATTATCCCAGATAGAAAACTATACCACCCAAAATACGAGTAAAAACCACATCGTTTGGAATTATAGTACAGTAAATACGATTTATTTTCCCCCGTTTCAGTTTCAGTGTATAATTTTTCATCAATTTTGTTTAGTTCATATAAAAAGCTACACTCTGCCGCCGAACAGAGCTATCGAGTGGCTAGATCCGTTCGGTTTTTGCAAACATATTTCATATGCATGGTCGGCAGTTCCGTAAACAATTGCATCCAAATTCAAATTCAAATTCATATAGCCTCCTGTAATCTCGATTTGGGTTCGCTTTGTGGGTTATTCGATAGGCTCTTTGTATAGTATCGTGTGTGTATATATAGTTATAGGTAAAAAGCTCTGACAAGGCGCTTGACTTAACTGGCAACAGAAGCGACAATAGCTCATTGGGGATCTCAGCGAAGGATCGGATCGGATCGGATGGGATCGGGGATTTGTGCGGGGCGGGGGTCAAATAAAAATGCGCATTCCATGGGGATATGGATATAACATACATACATTTAGATCGGCGTGGTTACATATTTGTAGTTCGCTTTTTGTTTTGGTTTTTTTTCATTTATTTTGTATTATTTGTTTCGTGTAGAAAAAAAAACTTACGAGTAAATTTAAATACATGTACATACATATATATATTTTAGATTTATATATCCGTTAGATTAATGCGTTTTAGGTCTCTTAACTACAATTTGTTTAATTTTTACATACATAAGAAAATACTTTTAACACAAAACTGAGCGATTTGCAGTTGTCTGATGGAAGTGGGTTGAAAGTAAGATGAATAGTTAATGTTTGGCAATCTCGTAGTTCTCCGTTTTCCGTTTTCCTTCTACAACTTAGCAATTAACTTGAGTTAGTTTCGATTTTCGTAATTTTCTCATCGTGTTTGAACTTGTGTGGGATGAACCGGATCCGGAAACGTCTTCCGCTTAGCAAGCAGTCAAGCTAAGCAGTTTGTAAACATTTTCAAATATTCCATTTCAATTTCAATTTCGTCAACATTAATGTACATTGAGCATTTTTCATTGGGTGCCGTCCGCGGATTACACATTCTGGTGGTTAAGTATACGAATTACGATAGGAAACCAAGGATTTCGATATCAACTAAATATTCAAGTCCTTTCTTCTTCTAATCTATCCGATTTAATGTCATGGTTGTGGGGAAAGAAATGCTCGCAAGTCTTTTGTTCAGCGTTTTAAGTACTACGAATTGGTGGGGGATGATGATCAGGGGGCAAACTTAATGTTAAAACTTATTTATGGCATGTTTAAGTTAGTTATACTAAAGAAATCGTTCTCATTCCTTGCGGCTTACATGCATAAATCCCTTCTCTTCGCTTTAACTGCTAAATAAATGTAATTTTTTGTTTGTAAGGCATTAATTTAAGATTTCTTTCTTGCATACATATATATTTAAATATATGTATATAACTTAGGCTAGGTCCGTTTCTCATCATCTCCTCTTGTTTTATTTACTCTTCCCACCTTTGTTCATCGTTATTTGTTATTTGTAATTTCTTTGTAATTTTTATGAATCTGACTAAGGAGAAACAAAGCAGATGCAGCGATATAAAATATAAAGTAAAATGAAGCGACATGGAGTTATTCTTATTTTTTGCTTGTTTGCTTTCCGGTCTTTCGAGCTTAATGTACTATGTTTTAGATGCTTTTAAGATATCGTATGTATTATAGTAAGACATTTAGTAAGATTTACGCTGTGTACGAAAGTAAATTAAAACCAACTTAGTGTGCCAATCGATCGATATTCCAGTTTTCTTCCCCCAGCTTTGGCTTTGGCTTCTTCTCGCTAGATCATCATACAAGTATATATCTATGTGTATAGTATATATCTTCCCTCCTTCATGTTTTGTGCACATTGCGGTTGGATACTGGATTCTGGATCCTGGAGGTCCTTGAGTTCTGGAAACGCTCCTCCTTACACCGCCGAATTCTTGCCGATTATCTCGCCACTGCGTGAGTGGACAAATCGCCCGTCGAACTCGATGGTTGAGTTCTGTTTAATGCTGCCGGTGGGCGTGCGAAGCGGCTCCTTTTCGTCCCTGTGAAGGTTAAGATTGAAAGAGATGGAAATTAGATAAATTAGCTAATTACAAATATTAATTTCGTGTCCCAACTGTCATTGCTACGCATGCAAGTTGTGCCAGGCAGTGAAGAGTATTATTTTATTCCTATATATTTTGGGTATGACACTGGTGTTGATATATTAACTATTGTATATTCTAATGGGTTTTTGGTAAAAATTAAAATTTTTCTTTTTGTTTTTTTGCTGTAACTTGGCCAAAAATGGTCCTAGACCAAAAATACATACTGTTTTGAACAGATAAAAAAATAAGAAATAAATCCATAGCACTTTCCCTGTGATATTGGAAAAATACAATTTTTGCCAATTTTCACATTTTTTTATAAGGGGGTACATCATGATTTTTTACGAAAAATGTCAAAAAAAATAAAATGTCCAGGTTTAAATGTCAATCGTTTGGAAATTTAATAACGAGTTCAGAAAGGTATGACAATCTATATTTGGATAAATATTTCCGTTGTTACGGTCAAAAGACGAATTATTTTTTTGTGAAAAGTTGCGTTCTTGGTTTTTGGTAAAAATTTGAATTTTTTTGTTTGGTTTTTTTTGCTGTAACTTGGCCAAAAATGCTGCTACACCAAAAATACATACTGATTTGAACAGATAACAAAATAATAAATAAATCCATGATACTTCCCGGGTGATCTTAAAAAAATAAAATTTGGGCCAATTTAACATTTTTTTATAAGGGGGTACACCATGATTTTTTACAAAAAAAATGACTAAAAAATGAAATGTCTATGCTTAAATGCCAATCGGTTGAAAGTGTCATACCGAATCTTAACTAAAGTTTGGTGGCCATGCAGTGCTAGCTGAAGATGACATATGAGGTATTTCGGATAGATGATAGGATAATAGTTATTGCGAGGAAGGCAGAAACAGAAGCACAACACGCCATAAAAAAAAACAGATGCGGATGCAGACAGGCAGAGTGGCGGAGGAAACAAAGAAAATCAAAAACGGAACGGAAATGGAAATAGAATCTGAAACAGAAACAGAAGCAGAAACGAAACGGAAGCGGAAATGGAAATGCTAGTCGGGGGTACGTACAATGGCGATGTCATGGGCGAACCGCCCAGTTTGACGGGCGGCGGCAGTGGCAACGGCGATGGTGGCGGCTCCTTTACCAGCTGGCCACTGCAATAAGGTAGCGGAAAACGCCAACCGTAAAGACTGCTTGGTTAGATGGTTTTTGGGTTTATAGTCGATAGTTGATATTGTGATTGTGGTTCGGTTTTGGTTGGATTCGATTTGATTTAATTTGATTTGGTTGGATTGGTTGGATGTGTGATTGGATGATTGGAATAATACATGATGAGGTTGATTTAGTATCGAACAGAGAGTAGAATACATAGATAGCTATGGGTTGGTTTTTGGTATGTAAGTGACAACAATGATGAAACAGAAACAAATGTGTGTGAATATATATATCGTGTGGGTTGTTGGGCGTGTATTTTGATAACGTTGGCTTATACAGTTTATAGTGAGCAATTAAGTGTGGCCTTGAAGATCACAGACATATTTGTTTCAAATATTCCATATTATTCAAGGCCCTTAAAATATTTCATTACTTTTCTTAGAAATGGCAAAGTGCTAGTTTTTAATCAAATATAAATAATATCTCAAATTTTACAATTATATGGCTCTGACATTTTGCCACCTCTAACTCGAAATCTTTAACTTTTTGCAACAGCGAACATTAAAACACTTATATATTCAATTGTACAATTAGCCAACAAACTAAGGAAATGATTTTGAAGCAAATTCTGGTGTATTCGTGTCAACGAGTGTGAGTTTTCGAAATAAATCAGTGACTGGGTTTGTGTTGTTCTGTTTTGGTCTTTGAATTACATTCAATATTGCACTAAAAATTTGATGGCAAACGAAAAGGATAATGGTTAACAATTTGGAATTTTAATTTTCATTTTAGATGAGTCTCAGATCGCTCAGACGGATATCAGGGAATTGCGATTGAACAACAAGGACTTGGGCCGCGCATAAACCCAATTGTACTCCAAGTCCTGGCGCCTGTAAGTTTGGCTTTTTATCGCAAAATAGGAGCGTGTGGGGGAAGAACACAAGCAGAACGCAAAAGCAAAGATGTTAAATTCGATTCCGATTCTGATTTTTAGTGCAATATTCGTTTCAAACGTTTTCCAATCAAATTGGGTAAACAGAAAAAATAAGATTACAGATTTAGGTGATCTAAGCTCGAGGTTAATTTGATCATTTTTATTAATTTTCGAACTTTTATAAAAGTTATCGAAAACATCGATAAGAGAGGAATAAAAAGATCGATATTTTAAAAAGTTACTTGGTTCGAAACTGAGATCAAATACGCCTTGGTTTATTTCACTTTTAAGACGTAGATAGTAAAGAATCAATGGAGCTTACCTGCCCAGCTTGGCCTCGTCGTCGATCTCGGAGGGCGATCGCTTGGCCTTGCGGCACATGGTGGCCATGACGCCCATGTGGACGGTGATGCAGCACAGGAAGTCCACCACGAAGAGGAGCAGAAGGACGCCGCCGAGTGCGATGCCCACGATGGCCGCCGAGGAGAAGACCTGTCGGTCAGCCACCTGGATAACGTCGAGTCCTGTTTGGTTTTTTT